CGAATCCAGCTGGCTGGAGAATCGTCGTCCGAAGTGTATCCGCGATCATGTATACCTCAAGCTTGTGCAGGATCGATGGTAACAACAAGGCCAGAATGGCGTATCTAGTCGGAAGAGTTTCAACAAGACATGATGAAGCTAGTAGACTCTCTACTTTGGTATACGCTTCACTCTTGTTTGCGTTCTCAAATACCGCATGTAAAAAGTCTCGACGTTTAGGCAAACGCACAACTTGTATCAGGGTTTCGTCAACGCCTGTCAGGTCTGGGGACTCTGGAAGCTCGATAGACATGGGCATGAACTTTCGGAGGTCTCCTTGCAAGGAAGTCAGACCCCAGTCCGATATGTCCAGGTTTCCTTGAGCCAGGATTCTGGATGCTGGGCGCTGGCCTTCCGTTGTCGCATTCCATTCGTATAGCTCGTTCTCTGTCATCATATATCCCGATGAGTCGCATGGAGCAAGTAGACAGAGAAAGTCGTCGATGCCTTTGATGATGTGTGCTCCGAAAACCGAGCGCAAAATCTTCCACGTGATGGAGCGTAACAGATCAATGTCGATGTCGACCAAAGATGTACCGTAAAGAGCGGAGGTTGTAGCAGTGTACTGCTTCGATTCGTTCCAGTGCAGTAAGATATTAGGAATCTCATGCATGGGAGCTGGTGTTAGTAGTATCATGCGCATCGGTTCCTCCCCTGGCGTCTTCACCTCGAGCAAGGTGCGGTACCATAAGTCAGGTTCGCATTCATGAGATTGCGCAACCACCGCCCACGGATCGAGAGTTTGAGAAACAGGTACAAAGGATGGGCGATCGTCGGGAATCTGATATTGGGCCGCATTGTCGTCTCCCTCCTCTTGGACGGGGAGTAGATTCTCGTTTACCAATCCGTGCAGGTAAAGAGCCTTGTATGCCTCAAAGGCGGCGTCTTTCTGAGCCATTCGCTCGGTGCTCCACGACTGCAGACTCTTAGCTTTCCTTACAATAGGGTCGACAGAAATTGGTAGCGTAATGGTAGCAGTGATCCGCCCCAGGGTGTTGGTAAAGTCGATTTCAGGTCGCGTGTCGACGTAGGCGTTGCCCCCTAAACGCGCGCAGAAGTGGTAGAGATGTTGAGCCGCGTTTTCCAGAGTCAACAATGCACTAGTGTCTCCAGTAAGTGAAGGCCGATTCGGCAAGGTACGAAAGCAAACGCTGCTAGTAAATGCTTCTCACTCACCCGGTACTTGGGACACTGAAGTAGCGCTCGCCCACTTCGTCCTTCTGTTCTGCCTCCTGAGCCACCTGAACTTTGCGCTTATCGTCTTCATACGCTCTCCTCATCTCAGCCTCAAGCCCTTGCCACGATGTCAAAGATCGTGCTTCGCCAGTATCTGGGACGAGGATGAAGTAACGCGACTCCTGTCGCCTCGCTCTTCCGCGTCGCTGAACAAAGCTTTTCAGATTCTTGGGTCTTTCGAAGCATACCACGAGATGACAACTAGATACGTCGACGCCTTCTTCAAGAACAGTTGTAGCCAGGACGAGATTAATGACCCCAGCACGAAAGTCGTCGAGCGTGGTTTGTTGGTTGGCTGGTTCTGCTAGAGCGCATACGTTTGTTTTGCGCTTGCTTGTCTGCGATGTACCGACGAATGTCCCTACCCGCAACAGATCCTTGGTTCGTGGATGGCATGCTAAGATTTCAGCAATTGATGCTACCCAGACTCGCTGTTCAATGAATACAAGACCGGTAAAGCCTGGAGTGCCATTGGCTTCAGCGACCAGAGTGTCGATAAGCTTTTCAACTTTGTGGGACATCTTCTCAGTGATGGTAGCAGGTGAAGGTGCAGGATCTTGAAGGGGAAGGCTTTGGAATATGCCCAGGAGATGTTGTCGCTCATTGGTGGTCAAATCCAGTAGCTGCTGATCCGACCCGCGAGTTGTCTTTTCGAATTTGCCAATGCATTGATGTACGTAGTACTCCATTGCTGAGGTTCCGAGCTCGTCTGCCATGGCTTCAGCTTTAGACACCAGCTGTTTCAACTGGTCGAGGCAATAAGTCTTATTGCTATTCCACAGCTTATTCAGCTGGCGAGAGACATCAAAGCCGTGCTTTTGTTGGTCCAACAATGCGACGACGTACGGATCCTTTGCAAGATCATACGTGCGTAATGCATGCTGCAGCGCGAGAAGTAGTTGAGATTGCTGTTGCCCTGGGAGGTTTAACGCGTAGTTGACCTGAAGTAACTCCGGTCTATGAACATGCCGTATGAGTTCGGACCTATGAAGCTTTGGTGTCCTTACGGTGGCGTGCAGGTTCCGCTCTATCTCCCTACACATATCAGAATAGTACTCGCGTCCAAGCAAGCCAAACTTACTGCAGACCCTGCTCGCTGGCTGCTGCTTTCATAACAGGGCTCGCACTCAGCCCAAGTACTTTGGGCAGTGACTTGCCACCATTATCCAATTGAGGCATATAGAAATTGGACATGATCAGATTTGCTGGGTGCTTCAAAGTACAGTGATGCGCTACAGAATGTTAGCGGGGCCCTCTCTTGTTAACGCAACAGACTGACCTTCGTCAAAAATCAACAAAGCCAGTTTGCCCAGCCTAACAAATCCGTGTGTGAGTGCGTCAAGCAACACCCTGAAAGTGTGTTAACGGGCGCGTGTGGCTTCTCTTGCGCCCCGCTGTGGACTTACTGGTGTGTTGAAATCACGATGCGGATGTGATCCAAAACGCTGTCCCACTGCGCCTGAGTGGTCCAAAGATCAACGTCATCTCTTCCGCAAAGCAATTGGTATCCGAGTCCAGGTAAATGAGACTGGAAGACCTCATGTTGCTGCTCGCATAGTGTAACCGTGGGTGCTAGAAACCAGACGATCTAAAAAGCGTCCCGAATTCGGTGAGATGAAGTTTAGTGTGGGGACTTAGCGGCAGGTATCCGTACCTTGTCGGGCTCGCACGTCTCCAACTCCGCTCGTGTCCGTTCGATGGCTCTGCAGACTTGTCAGTAAGATTCTTTCATAGCGAAACTCTTCTCCCTACATGTGCGTCTTTCCTGAGCCTGTGTCCATGACCACGATGACGTTGCCGTTCATGCTCTCTTCCACCATCTCAGCCTGATAACCTCGCAGTTGGAACGCCTCACTGGGCACAACAGGAGGGGCTTCAGCATCGTTATCATCTTGCATTGGCGAATCCATTTGTAAATCGAGATGATGCGACACAAGTCAAAAAGCGTTGAAAGTCACCAACTTGGTGTTGGGTCTCAGTGCTCAAAGGCGACAGGGTGCTAGCTTGGCCGTGTTCTGACCGCGGACAATCGAAATGCAGAACCCCTCGCGTACCTCTATCTGCTCTCGTTGTTGCACAAACAACCCAATTGGGTTTGTCGCGTCACTGTCTGCGAACCAATGGGATCAAGTATGAGGCATTTCAAGACATCATTTTCGTAAATGCTACATAAGTCGCTTCATGCCCTTAGCACCAAGTCCATCTGTACCGACTCGGAGCAGGATGGTGCTATGTCATAACCTTCTCCCTCTACAAGTTGGTGAGGTAGTCCTCAACCTCGGACGGGCTCAGCTTCCTGAACCGTGGTCCGACGGCACCTTCGACACCCTCAGTGCCAAGGAGCCTCTCCTCTGGTGGTCCAACAATGCCAATCTCGACAGTCTCGCCGTTCATCTCTCCTTCTATGGTCTCCTTGAGAGTAAGCAGGGCAATGTGGATAGCGTCCTCGAGCTCGAGACCGTCGGTGTACCGCTTCTCCAAGAAGGTCTTGGCGCTTGTCGCGCTTTTTCCTATGGCTGTAGCCTTCCAAGGGAAATAACTGCCGCTGGGGTCGACCTGGTAGAGACTGGGTCCGCCCTTGAGGATTCCACCTGTCTTTCCGCTGACCTTCTTCTTCTCTTCGCTCGTCTGCTCTTCGCTCTTGCCTTCGGCCTCAGGCTCGATACCATCATCCCATCCAGCAATGAGCAGACTGACACCGTACGGCCTGACACCACCAGACTGTGTAGCCTCCTGCATCACTCGCGCCACATCCTGTACTAATATCCTTGTAGGTGGGTATTCGTTGTAGACGCGCTTGTAGCCGGTATGTGAGACCTTGCGGGCCTTGTCGACGAGAACGCGGTAGTCAGGGCCCATGCCCGAGTAGACCATACCGATGTTGGGTGTTATGAGACTGATCTTTGATGACGATTGCGAGTCGATGAGCGGCGATGACGATTTCTTCTCGGTAGCGAGGACAATGCCGTTGGTGGCTGCGAGCTCTAGTCAGCGCTGCTGGGGGGCTAATGAACGATATAACGCACCCTTGATTCCTAGTGAGGTAACACCCTGGTTGACGGCGTTCAAGGCATACTCTGTTCAGGTATTAGATGCGGTCTGCTACAAGAAGGCGGGAGTCGTCGTATCCCTGGGCCGCGTACCGATTTGTACCAGCTTTCCGCTACATGAATGTTAGCAAACATGTCGTGCGTGATCGATAGCGCAGTGTTTACCTGGGGGAGAAAGTGGTGAGGGAGAAGGAGTATCGGTCCGCCATGACGGTTGCTTGACAGAGTCTAGAGGCGGTATATAGGAGGGGGTGTAGTCGGCGGCGGGAAGACGTTCAGTGGGGTTGGTAGACAACGCGGGTACTGGAGGCGATCTGCTAGAGCTCCAGGCTACCCAGAGCTTCGTCGCCGGAAGCGCCAAGACCGGCGCTCGGCGTAACCGCAGCTCCGGTTTGTCTGAGGAAGCTGCAACCCCGAATTCTTTGAGCTTCCAGAACTGCTCCTCTAAATCACCACCACGTTTACAACATCCTGCCACCGTGTCCCTAGTGTCGTACCGCCCAAGGAGGCGGTGTCGGAACATGATCCGCACTACCGAGACACTTAAGTTGGCGAATGTCTTCCCCGCGGCTTCCTGATTGATCACTTCGTCATCTCATGCCTACCCACATGCTATATTACTGGTAAGAGCTGCATTAACCTCCGCCTTGTACCTTTACAGTTTCACACCCCGCCATGTCTTCTTCGTCCGGATATCAGGCCATGCCAGGCTGGTACTGGCCCGATGACGCGCCCAAGACAGAACCCGCCCACGCGACATCCTCCTCCACAGGTTCCACATCGCAACCGCCACCTTCAGCCACCTCCAACACTAGCGACAACTCTTCATCGCAGTCGCGCAGCTCAAAACGTACCCACTGGCCGCCCAGACAATGCAGAATCTGCCTCGAGACAGTTCAGCCGACATTCAATGTTCCCTCACAAAGCCTTCCTGGCTTCTTACAGTCGTCCAACGTTGTGTACGAAGATGAAAGTGGCCGTCTGATCCGCCCATGTATGTGTAAGGGATCATCCAAGTATGTTCATGAAGCTTGTTTGCAAGCTTGGAGGCATGCAGACCCTAGCTATGGGCGTAGGAACTACTGGCAGTGTCCGACTTGTGGCTTTAAGTACCGACTTGCGCGTTTAGGAGTTGGGCGTTTCATAGGCAGCGCTGGTATGTATTCCCTCTCACTTCAACAGATCAGTGCTAACGTGGACTACAGCTGCTCAGGTTGGTTTGACTGCCATTGTATTGATATCCATCGTGTTCATCCTCGGCTTCGTTGCAGATCCTATCATCAACCTGTATCTGGACCCATGGAGCTTTTTGTCCCCCTTTTCCTCGTCGGAATCTGACTACGCTTATTACTACGAGGATGAGTCGTCCACTTGGTACGAGCACTTTGCGAAAGGCTTCGCTAGCATGGGTGTGCTTGGTTTCTTGAAAGTCCTCATCGCCAGCCCACTGTCTTACTTCAGGATTGGAGGCGGTCGAGGTCGGACGACTGGTCGAGACAGATATGAGCAGGTCAGCTGGATCATCATCCTCATCGGTGTTGGCACATTCCTAGCGGTATGTGGAAAGCGATCGACATTATTGTGCAAATGCTGACAATGAACAGGCAGTATACAAAGGAGTCCGTGTATGGAGTCGCCGAACGCTTGAGAAAGCTGGCGAGCGTGTCATGGATGTCCAAGGTGACAATGACGACGATGACGAATAGCCATGACTGAAATGCATGCAGTCGCTTTCCGGCTTTCCTCCACTCAATGCTTGGTTCTACACTTTCCAAATTCCGCACTTTCTTAAATTGCCACAAGTTATTCCTCAATACTGTGTCGATTAGTCTACGTGCGAAGATCGAACCAGCCCACGACCTCCATATCGACATTGCGCGTTTTGTGCTCGTCGGCTTTGTGGAACGTGGAGCTACCTGCTATTGGCACTCATTTCGTCTACCTTGCCTGCTCCTGGAGCATCCTCTCTGTGGCTTGAACGAAAACAGGCCTTTGGCACATCTTATGAAAACTTGTAATGAATTAATTCTTGGGAATCACAAATGAAATCGCGCGTCCCCTTCATCACTTGCTAGTGACGCTGCCATCTATGAATCCCAAATAACGCCATGGGGTATGTACCTCAGCTAAGATATGCTGCGAAGCCTGCCCGTCTATAATGGCATTGCTCTGCGATACCATACGCCCAAACCAAACCGAACCAAACTGTACCAATCCGATCCAACCGTGAACAAACGAGAAAAAGTACAATACAATATATAGGCCCAGGGTATCAATGTAGAATATTAAAAGCCACCTCTTCTCTCTCTCTTTTTCTTTCACCTAGTGATCGCCCAAACCGGGCTTACCACCCTTCATAAAGACACGCTTGGTCGCACCAACCTTGCCTAAATCACCAAATTCTGTCTTCTTTCCCCCTACAGCGCTGCCAGGGCGACTGTCACTCCTACTGTCGGTGCGCTCGAAATTTGGATGGCTTGAGGTAATGACGTTGTTACTCACGGTGCGAGCCTGCTTCATCATGCCCTCAATCCACTCCAGCTTCTCGCCGCTGAGATCCAATTTCTTGGCTGATGGGCCCGCCATTCCGACTTCCCTACCCTGCCAGGAACTGCGAGACGAAGTTGTCGAGGGTATCGTCGGGTCTTCAGTAGTGGCACCTGGTGTTCCAGGAATAAAGCTGGGCATCGGCGGTGGCGCTTCGTCGCTTGTAAAGGCTAGACCAGATGACTTGACGGGTGTGGTGGATGGGCTGGCCAGGGGAAAGCCAACGCTGATGCGTCTTTCCATCTTACTCGCCCTGCTGTCAGGTCTCGTCGGCGAACTATCGGGGTTCTTCACCTCCAGACCCAGTACCTCAAATTTGCCTTCGCTTGCTGTCCTGCGGCCGTGGTGCTCGGCGTACTGGCGCAGGTACTCGCCTAGGTCAGACCAACCACCGCCGACACGCACCATGACACGCTCGCCATTCTCGCCAACGCGGCGGATGAACAGCTTGATCGGCTGTTCTTTGCCAGGTTGTGTGAGATGATACAGCTTGATGTCGTTGTCGCCTCTCGCAGCTGCAGCAGACCTCCGTCCTGAAGCAGCGTTGTTCAACTCGAATTCAGTCTTTGCAGGGGACAGCGTGAGCTCGGGAGACTTGAGGCCGCTGACTGAGCGAGCTGCGCGTAGATATCCACGACTACTTTTCGCGAGAAGGCCACGCGCCGACTTGACTTCGGGCGCATCGGGGCCTGGGCCTGACCTAAGCCTAATGTGGGCGGGGATAGTCGTGAGGATGTCGGAGATCTTTCGCTCAAGTTCTTCAGCGCTGTTGTTAGCTTTCTGAGCAAAGTGCGTCGGTGGCCATGGAGCGCTTGAGGTGTCATCAGCGGTGGTAGTAGTCTTGACTGGTCGACGCTTCGCCATGGCTGCATTCAGTTCAGGGCGTGGCGCTCTCATAGAACGATTAGTGGCGTTTCGGACTGAAGGAGACTCCTCGATGGTACTAGGTGGGCTTGAATCAGGCGACATATCTGTGGACAGCGAACTAAGACTGCCCCTCCATGATCGCGGCGTTTGAGGAGGCTCCATAACGGGGCTGTCCTGTCCGTCGTTCTTTGTGATCGTGGGATTGCCGAAAAGCGCCAGAGGTTTGGGCCTGCCTTGTAAAGATGCTTGAGATGAATGGTCGTCAGCCTCTGCATGGACGGCGACTTCTTCGGGGCCTTCATCAAGATCGTACTGTACAACAGTGTCGCCTTCTTCGAACTCCGAGTCTTCGTCATCAGATGCCGGTCCTGGTTCGAAGCTCATCTTCTCTAGATGTGTCGTCGCAGTAGGGGACTTCGATGGTGACGCGAAACCCTGTGCCAGCTCGTGTTCGGTAACATCGGTCTCACCCGAGACTTGTCGTGCGTTGCTGGAGCCGATGGAGGTATGAAGTGTTGAGTTACTGCTGCTCGATGCGTTCATGGCATAGTCTCCAGAGAAGATCCCACGCTGGGGCGCACTGAAGTAGTCATCCTGCATGGCGTTGTGGCGGCTGCTCTGCGAAGCAAGCTTCGGTGGTGGCGATTGGAGTGTAGATGCGACAGAGTCGATTCGAGCATTGAGAGCATCCAACCTGGACGTAGTAGCGGATTGCACAGCTGCGGTGGGTACGACAATGGACACATCGTTACCAGCATTGACTGATGAGGATGCTGTTGTCAATACCCGCTCGCCGCTTGTATGCGCAGTCGTACCCGCATCGACCTCTGGTTGTAGCGCAGGTTCAGGGGCGCCCTTCTCGGTAGTGTTAAGACCTTCCGCCCGTCTCCGAACCTCGAGATCGATTATCCTCCTTCTTGATTCGTGTTTCCATTGCCCATAGTCATTCTCTGTAGTTTCAAAGACGTCTATCCAGTGCTCGGGTAGACTGTCTTCCTGTCCTTCGAGTGTATCGAGCATCTTGTCTAGTTGCCTCCCCAAGTCGCTGACCTTCTGATGAAGCACAAGCGATATGGTGTCTACTGCCTTTTTCCACTGCTCAAATGCAGCGTCGGACGTGTCTGCTGGCGCCTCGATGGCATCCCAGCCTAGCCGCATAGCTTCTTGCGCCGTATCGAGTTCGCTGGTGTAACGCGGGGCTTCGCGGAGGATGGAGACGCGGGCGGTCCACGTGCTTAGGCGGGCTTTGAGCTGGGCGTGGTGCGGTAGGGCGGATAGGAGGGTCTGGGTGATGAGAAAGGAGAAGTCGTCCATGACCTTGTAGTGCTGGCGATTGGCCTCGTAGCCCGCAGAGGACGGCCTCGACCTGCCTGCCGGGTGCATATCCAGCACGTGCTCCTTCAGCTCTTCGACGTCAAGCTTGAGCATCTCGTCGGCGATGTCGTCGAGGCGCGCCTCGTGTTGCTCCACCTCGACCGACAGCATCGAACCCCAGTATTCTAATGGCGGCATGACATTGCCCATGTCGGAATCGGCGACGTGCTCCCTGATGCGCAACTCGATGCTTTTCCTCCTCTGCTCGCGGACCTGGGCGCTGGGCTGCTCGAAGCTGCCCGACCATCCCCATTGCTCAATCTCGGCGCACCATATCTTCAGCCGCTGCGCCGCCTTTGCGACGCGCGATCCCAAGTCCCTCTCGGCGGCGGTGAGAGTCTCGATGCAGGAAAACATTTTGTATTCGTCGCGTGTTGTGTCGAACGGCATGGGCTTTTGTGTGAAGGCGCGGAGGGTCGTCTCGGGCGACAGGTCGCGGAGGCGGGTCTCTTCCGAGCTGCCATACGTTCTGCCTCGTCTGCCGGCGGGTGACATGGCTGGTGATGGGACGCGACGGGGTGTGAGGGGCGGGATCATGCGCATAGGCGACCGAAAGACGTCCATGATGGCGGTTGGCAAAAGTTGAAAGAGCGACTGGTGACAAGGAAGGTACAAAGGAGACGAGTCTCAGACAGAGAAGGTGCGGCTGGCTTTGTCGCTATCAATGCGACGGTCAGTAAATCGTGTCCTTTGTCTCCTTCCTGTTGCCGCCGTGTTTGCGCTGCCGGCAGCCCAATGTTTATTGACTGACGCAGTCTTCGCCGAACATCTTGCGCCGTGCACTCTTGCATTGGTTCACCCGCCTTTCGATATGACTAAGCCCAAAAGCGTGCTAGCCGTAGATCACTTTCGGACTCGACTCCTGCGCCCTCACCAACATTGCGCGTTTTCGCATTGAGAATCTGAGATGGTACCTTGATGGACCGCAGAAAACATATAAGTAAGATACTCCGCTCATCGTTCCTGAGCTCTAGTTCTGTCTCTTCTACGCTGCCAAGTGCATCGCGGAATAAGGACGCGCCCATCACGCGTCTCCGCACTCCCCCGCATTCAACTTCAACCGGCCATCCTCTGCTCTGTGCCGTCTACGCAGAACCATATTATACTTTCCACCACCGTTACTTTTCTTCGGACGGCTTTCGGGTCAGCCTCTGGCGACGTGCACGGAACGGCGGCGTCGGTATGCGCGCTTTTCCGATCTGCTATCTGACCGTCAGATTTTGACCGCAGAAGATACGTGCATCGAAGCGGCATCTCTTCCTCATTTCAGAAGCTACCCCACCACCTATATCGTCATTGCTCTCTGCCAAGCACCTTAATGCTCCGCCCCGCGTTCATATCTCTTCGACCTTCCGGAGTGCGTTAGCCAATTGCCTGTATACCTCGCGGTTACGCAGTGCCTGCGTTCAGCTACAGCTACCCGCATGTCGGGATACGATGGCACGAGAGAGCAGGGAACTCGCCAGGTTCACCTGCTCTCAGTAGAAGCAGCTATCCTCGGAATGGAAACCTTGACGTTATCGTACCGAACGCCGACGGAACTGCCTGCAAGTACTTAAAGTACCATGCAACCTATCGTTGTTCGGTACCCTTCTGCCTCTGTGAAGTGTGCATTTGTCAGTCAATATGAGAACAGCACTTCTAGCGCTCGCTGCCATTGGCGCTCAAGCCTGTCAGCGTGAACGTGCATTCTTCCATCACCCGCATAAGCATGTCAAGAGACAATCCGTCTTCCCTCCAGCCTTGACGCCCAACGAAGAGATCTTGCTGAACTCGTTCGATTCCGTCTCGATATCGGAATGGTCATACTACTACAGTATGGCTCTCGGGCTCGATACAAAGTGTATGCTAACAAAGTGTAGCTCATGGCCAGCATTTGGCGGGTCAGAACGAGTCAATGGGTATTTGAAGCCTTTCCCGGACCGATCCGATATGTAACTAATCCTTGACACAGCACAGTGGACGGCTGACAAATGGTCTGAATATGGCTTCACATCAAGGCTCGACGAATACTGTATGAAACTGATGATGATCGTTGCGGCAGGCACTAACAAGACGCAGATGTCTTCCTCAACTACCCTGTATCGAACTCGCTACAGCTTACCTATTCCAACGGTAGTACTTACACCCCGACCCTCATGGAAGACGTACTGGAAGAGGACGAGACCACGAGCTATCCCAACAGTGTCCCCGTCTTCCATGGCTACAGCTTCACAGGCAACGCATCTGCAGAATACGTTTACGTCGGAAGAGGCCAGCAGGTCGACTTTGACCGCCTCGAAGCTCTTGGTGTCGAACTTGAGGGCAAGATTGCGCTAGCAAAGTACGGTGGACCATTCCGTGGGCTGAAAGTCAAAAATGCACAGGATCACGGCATGATCGGTGCTGTGATCTTCACCGACCCTGGTGATGACGGCAATATGACTGAAGGTGAGCGTGTTTGACCTCTTCCCAAAACCACCCATTAACAATTTTCAGCAAAGGGAGTGGCTCCATACCCCTACGGCGGAGCGAGGAACCCTTCAACCGTTCAACGCGGATCTGTCCAGTTCTTGTCTACGTATCCCGGCGACCCAACTACTCCAGGTTACGTCTCCAAGCCAGACTCCCCACGCGCAGATCGCACCGACATCACCCCGCAAATTCCATCACTGCCTATTTCCTGGATCGAGGCTCAACCGCTTCTCCAAGCCCTCAACGGCTTTGGAACCAACGGCACCGAGGTCAACAGGACGCGGTGGGTTGGTGCTATCCCCGGCGTAGACTACTTCACTGGCGAGGGATCTGGCGCATCGCTTTCAATGAGCAATGTAATGAACGATACCTACGGTACCATCTGGAACGCAGTCGGCATCATCAACGGTACGAACGAAGACGAGGTCGTCATTGTGGGCAACCATCGTGATGCTTGGATTGTTGGCGGTGCCGCCGACCCCAACTCCGGATCCGCTGTACTTATCGAGCTGGCCAAGGCTTTCGGTGCTCTTGCCGAGACAGGCTGGAAGCCAATGCGAACCATTGTACTCTGCAGCTGGGACGCCGAAGAGTATGGTCTTGTTGGAAGGTAAGACTAAAATCTTACATGAACGAGTCAGGGTACTGATAAATCATAGTACTGAGTGGATGGAGGAGTACATCCCTTGGCTGAAGAACGCCGCCGTGTCCTACCTCAACATCGACGTCGCTGTCAGTGGACCAATCCCAGACGTTTCCGCAACCCCAGACCTACACGCCATCGCCACCAGCCTGATGAAGAAGGTCGTGTACCCCTACCGCAACGACACCGGTCTCACCATGTACGATGTCTGGTCGCACGAAAGCGGTGAAGTCGGTGTACTCGGCAGTGGTAGTGACTATACCGCTTTCCTCCACCGTGGTATCGCATCCATCGATATGGGTGCTGGCGGAGGTCAGTGACATTTCTGTACAAATTGTATGAGACAGATACTGACTTCATACACCCATCTCTAGGTCCAAACGATCCCGTTTACCCTTACCACAGCAACTACGACTCCTACCACTGGATGGCCACCTTTGGAGACCCTGGCTTCGTCACCCACAAGGCGATGGGCCAGTTCCTCACTCTCCTCTTGTACCACATGGTTTCCGATCCCGTCCTGCCCCTCGAGCCAGCAGACTACGTCTCAGAGCTGAACACTTACCTTGAAGCTCTCGAGACGGATATCAGCAGCAGCAACTTCACCGTTGACCTTACAAACCTCACTGCCGCTATCACTCAATTCGAAACCTCCGCCCAGGAGTTTGTCGATCTGAGAGATCAAGCTGTTGCTGCAAATGACACAGAGCTTATCACTGTGCAGAACCACAAGGCGAGGGACTTCTCTCGGGGCTTCACTTCGCAGGGTGGACTGCCCACCAGAGAGTTCTATCAGCATACTATCTTCGCTCCTGGGCGCGATACAGGATACGCGCCTGTAACGTTCCCGGGTATCACGGAAAGCATCACGTTTGATCAGGATGCGGAGTTGGCGCAGGAGTGGGTGCAGAAGACTAGTGATGCGATTTTGGTGGCTGCTAGTATCCTGAAGACCTAGAGAGTCGATCTAAACGCAATACTGCGATGACGAGTTCGGTGGTAGTGGAGGGTGGAGGAGATACCCTAGTAAAGGCCTTGATAAGGAAGAGATAAGTCGTCAGTAGTAGAAAGAATAATGATAATGTATGCTGCAGACTCCAGACCTCACCTCTCCCTCTACTTCACAACAGCAAGCAAGAACCCATCATAGGACTTCTCCCCAACCGTCTGCAGCACCACACCATCCAGCCTCTCATCCTTGCCCACGTTCTCCACCACCCTCTTCGCTCCTGCAATCCTCGGATCATCCGTCTCCTCCGCCAACTGCCCCTTCCTCACCACATTATCCACAATCACACATGCACCCGCCTCACACATACCCAGCGCTATATCCACATAGTTCCAGTTATTCTCCTTATCCGCGTCGATGAAGACGAAGTCGAATTTCGGCCTCTTGCCGTCTCTAACCTGCTGTGCCAGAGCAGGAAGAACGTCCATACCAGGCCCTTCTATGACGTCCACATTGTCTTCCAACCCCGCGGTCTGGATATTCGACCGTGCGACATTGGCGTGGTGCATATCGACTTCGACGCTTATTACTTTTACGTTGGGACTGGATGTTGCGAGCCAGATGGTGCTGTATCCGCCCAATGTGCCTACTTCGAGGATGTTTTTGGAACGTGCCAGGCGTGCGGTGAGTTGGAGGTATTTGCCTTGGGAGGGCGACACGGCGATGTCTGGCAGGCCTGCTTGCTGGGAGGCGTCGAGGGCGTGTTGGAGGGCGGATTGGGATGGGGATATGCGCGTGGAGGGGTGGAGGTGGCCGAACGAGTAGGTGTCAACCGCTGTCCATCGCGGGTCTTTTTCGTGGGACTGGCCTGGCTGCGGCATAGTGAGGATGCTGTTAGAGCCTCAGATATGGAAGTTAGTTGATGGTTAGTTACGCGCTCTGGATGCGCGAATTAACGCGTCTTTATAGATAAATCATGTCGGTTCAGTCGGGCATGCCAGATGTCACTCGTATCTCATAATGCATCTGCCTAAAGAGCATTGAGCAATCATTGGATAGCATCGAGGCGGGGTGGTGGAAGAGCATTCAACCAGCTCGCGGAAGCTTGCAATGGGGCGATCTGATAAGCACAACTCCGAGCTTCGATCTCCGATATCGCCGAGCATACGCAAGCAGTCCACAAGGCAAGCACGCAAGGCAAGCACGCGAAGCAAGCGACACCAACAGAGGGAAAGTAACGATTGTATCATTCAATACGCCTTCACCATCTCACCTACATACTCATTGATCGTCTTCCGAATATCCACCTTCTTCACAGCCTGCAGGTCCTTCAACCTCGCGTGTGAAGCTTGGTGCGCGAGCCGTCGCGCTTCCGGGGGCAGGGGCGGAAGTCCTTTGTTCACGTCCAGCGACGTGACACGCGTTACGTGATTCAATGGGCTAGGCCTGTACGGCCGGTGGAAACCATATGGCATGATGTTGGTGGAGTGAGTGCTGCAAGGCCTGGGTCTGCTGAAGCTAGAGTTGTGACTCACTCTTTGGGACTTCGTGTCGCTAGGCACGCTTTGGCTTGCGCGATGGCTGTTGAGATTTCGCATGGCGTTGAGGATGTGAGCTGAGGTGGATAGATCTGGTTGGGCGTTCGACGCGTCGGCTTGTTCCCTGAACGCAGGATGGCATTCGTTGGCTGGTATCTGGCTCGCGCCAGAAGCTCGCAACTTGGTATTGGAGAGTTTGGCTTGCAACTTCTGGTCAAACTTCCCCACCAGAGTGGTGTTCATTGTGGAGTGGGATGTTGTTCTGCTGATTCGCTTCCAGAGGCCTACAGAGGATTCCTTAGGACCTGGTGAGTTTGGTCGTGTGTTTTCTTGGAGGCTGTCGTATTTTCTCTTTGGCCTCAGCCAGGATAACATGGTAGGTCTCATCCTGGTCACCTGCATGCCGATTTCCGCTTTCGAAAAGTCGACTGAGTCAGCTGATGAATCGGATGAGAAACATGATCGGGATATCTCATGGTCTTCGCTGGAACGTCGCTCATCAGACTGGTCTAGATCTTCGACATCATCCTGTCTGAGTGCCTGCTCCGTCGTTCCATCGATCCTCACAGTCTCTGGAGGATTTGGGGGTTGAAGTGGACCGTGGTGGCAGACGTCTATGCCGTTGGTCTTAAGAAGTTCCGCTCCGCAGCTTGGCTCACTGGACTGGACTCTGTCGTTTTCACCGCCGCTCGTTGTTGACGCATGCCCTTCTTTCCCAAGGGTCGACACGTCCCATTCAACAACCCCCGATCGACGTACAGAAACTCGCCATGTACTGTTGCGCGCGTCCAATTCGCCGACAGCTGTAACCTTTTCTTCCGCGAGATCGTTCTCCGGGAGGTTGTCATCATCGGGCACATATCGCGATACAAGCTCTGCAATGTCGTCAAAGCTTAGGTTCTTATTGCGGAGCAGGTAGGAGAACCTGAGCCAGTCCAAGTCGCTTGTCGGGCCGAGGGTGACCACCATTGGCGTGCGTGGTGCGTCAAGATGAAGATCTTGGAGGTATTCATGTGGCTTCCCTGTCTCCGTGCCGGTGCACTTGTCGCTCTTAGGCTTCAGCGTCGTGTCCTTGTGGACCTCAAAAGCACTATCTTTTCGTCGGCGGCCCCCGCCACAGGATTTGCAATCCGCCCAGCACCCAACATCTTCACTATCGCCGCCTCCCCGAAGAGGCCACATGTCGCCGAAGGTGTGGACAAAGGGCGAAGGCGAAGATGCCGGCGAGTCCACCTTGCGACGACCATCAAGAAATCTCACCACTCTGATAGAGTCATCGTCGTTACTGACGATCTCATTCATCAATGGCCATTGTTCCTCCTCTTCCCCTCCACAACAACTGATGCGTTCCAATTCTTTCAGTGCAGCCTCGAACCCTGATCTAGCCTCACTGAGCAATCCTCGATCGGGACGCATCGTCCCTCCTTGGTAGACCGCTACGGATCTCACTCTTTCTCCTTTGCCGCTCTCTTGCATCTTGCAATGCTCTTCACGTAATCTGATTGCGCACGGTTGGCACCGCACCAGCGTGTATGTGGGCCAATCTTTACTCTGTCCCTCGACTTGGTTTGGATCAATGACTGTATGTAAGACTCCCTTCTGGTCAGCTGGCTTTGAGACTTGAACGAACTCGTCAGGATGACCGCAGATATAGGCACGGCGGAAAGCGTATGGATATGCTGGGGGTGCAGCTATGTGAGTCGTTACAAGCTCAGTCTGCACTGCTACTACTAGTGGGTTCTTATCAGCCATGACTCCTGGTAGATAGTGGGGGTTTTGCCGCGGTACTACTCGGGAAATAACAAGAGTGAGGAATGACACATACAGTTGGATGTTGGTGTTGCAGTTTGTTGGCCACGCGGTCACTATGTTCGGGGCCGATACAACACGATTGTGCCACCTCAACGACAACGACGCACCGCGCACCACCGTGACATAACAGTCAGTATGAAGAGCGGATTTTGCAAACATTTGAAGATGCAGCGACGTCAGTCGTCTTTGTGAGGCGTCGACGTTACGCCACACATCTCGTTCCGTCGATTTAGCGTCGTTCGGGATCACCGTGACTAGGGCTATGTAAGGGTTGAAAGGCTTTTCATTCAATGCTATTGAACCCGCCGTGGCAAAGTTCATTATTACGCTGTAACAGGTAACGCCATATCACCATGTCCATCTTTGTGACGCATCCGTCCCCCGGATATCGGATGTGCAAATGACGCTTCTCCAAAACAATAACGCCGCGCTTGCTAAATGACCAGAAAATTACAAGAAGATCTAGAACAACACCGTTCTCGATAACAACCTACGCACCCTACGCACCCTACGCACCGTAGTTTTGTCCCGTACTCACGGCTGCATATCCGGCTGGCGCGTGACCCATATATCCCTGGGGGGCCAGCGGATCGTGGCTTGACATCGGGGGGCTCGTTATCGGCGGAGTAGCAAGCGGCTCCATAGCGTAGCTTTGGGGCCGCGAGTGGTATTCTGTGCTTTGTGCCGTAAGTGGCACCATGTCTTCGGGTCGTGTGCTCCACCGTGCCGTATTGCGCATCTCTTCCAACCCCGCGTCGTGCGGCACATGCCCGTGTGCCGCACCCGTCTCGTGCACGGATCCATGAGGACTATGTCCGTGTCCATGGTGTCCGGGCTCTTCATACTCCAACGCATATGGCTTTCCGCTCTTTTGGAGTTTCCAGTTGCAATAGAGTGAGCTTAGCTTGTCGCTGACTAGGATGAGGAAGAGGAATACGACGCAAATTGGTAGGAGCGCAGGTGACTCAATGACGGCATGTAATCTCTCTGTGTCGGCCATGAGAGCCAACATTGCGCCCCCAACGCCGAGGGTAAGACTGCGGGATATGATGGACGTAAAGTCGAAGAGGTCGGCCTTGTGACGGCGAATTAACAAAAGAAATATGATCAGACAGAAGAGAAGGAGGCAGAACGACGACCAGAAGTAGAGATAGACGAGCTCGAATCCTTTGAGACCGACCTCGAGGGGACTGTAGTCCTTCAGTTTGTCGACTGGTATCTTCATGCCGAGACCAGTGTATAGGCCGTTGTTGAGAAGGTGAGATACGTTCTTGAGTGCTCCGGGCCAGTCGTCATCTTCCTCGCCCATGTTGTACTCCGTGGTGTTTTGCTGAGAGCAGATGTTTGTAGCGTTACCGACACTCCAGATAGCCGTCTGAGCTTGATTGTAGAAGCTCTTAGTCTCATACTTGCTGTCGAGCTCGAAATACTCCAAGAGATACTGCAGCTTGTCCTGAAGTTTTTGGCCGTCAAGATGATCCGTCTGACAATATTGCAGGATGGAAGTAGTAACTTTCCTGGTATTTTTGGCCACGTAGCGGGCCAGAGCAACTTGCTGTGAGCCTTCCACGACACCGACAATGGCAAGTTGAAAGGGAAAATGTAGCAGTGACCAGATTTGCTGACGAATGGTTCCGTAGTGACCGTGGGGAAAGTTGTCGAAGTACCTGAGTACTGTTAGCTCATATGCGTCATGTCTTCCATACCTGCATATACTTACAGAGCCCAAATCAACACAAGAACCACGATGATGCACATGATTAAGAAGCATCCCTCGACTTCCAATCCGTGCTTCCCCATCATCCTGCTGACTGTCTTTGTGACACCAATTGCACCCTCGCCAATGACGATGATCGTCAACAAGCTCATGCGCTCCATCAAGTGGGTCTTTTTGAAACTCATCATGCGCCAGAAGCACGATATAGCAACGACTGCGATGGCTTCAAGCACCATGACGACGTACCAAACAAGGTAGACTAGGCGTCTACGATGATCGCCCTCAACCTTAAAGGCGGGTGTCATGCCAGCGAATGCACCCATACCGATCGCATAGACGGCGAACATAAGAATGATCGGGAGGTAGATCTTGGTATACTTCGCTCTCCAAGTGAAGAAGAGCACCACAAGATATTGGATGGCGAGAAGACCACGGCTTATGACTAGGGTGTAGCATAGGATGCGGAAGTTCTACATGGCTTAGTATACCAGTTTCTAGATGCGGATGTCCAACTTACTGTATTGTTCCCTTGACCTTTCGCGCTCGCTGGGTTGAACTGGCTTCCGACTAGCGCCAGACCGACAAAGACGATGAATTGAATCGTTTTGCACACGCGCTCATAGAGCGAATCCCGCGCAAACCGCACATCGTGAAGTGTGATCTGGAACCAACACGACCACAAGATGCCAAAGAAACCGATGTATGCCAATAGGTAGTCGATATCGGTAATAGAGTGGTAGGCTGTAAAAGTCGCAAGATTGGCAACAAAGAATAAATCGAAAAAAAGTTCCACGCTATTCGCTTCGTGCCGTTGAGAGAAGACGAGGTGTTCGTGATCGGCACCAACTAGCGGGGATTCGATAAACGGTGTTGTCTTGTGCAGCCGTCTAAGATGCTTTTCCGCATCAACATCGCGTTTGTGGCCGTGAAAAGTCCAGCCCATGATGCCAATGTCCCACAAAGTCGACGAGAAACAACCACAACCCAACTCCAACGGTCAGGAAAGGAGCAGCGAGGTTAAATCAAAGACAGCCGAACAAGACTACCAAGACAAATACGAGCTGCTTTCGGCGCCGCAGTGAGTCTTATGCAAATCCCAATTCGCATACTACACGCGACACGAGATAGCCCCGCAAGCTATGGCGCATGTTCTATCTTGGGGCTGGAGGCCCAGGCCGGCGAGTACGGTTCCGCCTTGAGTCCGCTAGCAACGGTACCAATAGCACCGCATAGCGGCGCGTTACACGGTGGGCGCTGGCGGAGCACGCATGGCGGGTTAGGTCGTGCTAAGCCGGAGGAAGCTTTCACCACCAAGCCTGCGCGGGTCGGGCTCAGCAGCAAGCCAGCGCAACAATGCTGACAGCGCTATCGTGAATCGGAAGAGCACAGATGCTGGAGTACTGGTTGTAGCGTACGTCGGTCCAATCATTGCCTCCACGTGAGGCTTGGCGCGCTGGTGTGTCGAATTAGACGGTGTGGAAGATAGGAGAGTCAGCTCAGCCCTGAGATCCGTAGACGGGCCGCTAGCGGTGCAGGCGTCCAGCGTCGAGTCTGTGGCGGAGGTGCCTCGCCAGCTAGCCTCTTCGTAAGACGAAGTCATCGCTGCAGCTGTTGAAACGCATCTTTTTTGTCTTGCATTGGTAGAGGTGCGGCAGTAACACTCGTACGCAGCCCACGATCACCCGTCCGCAGCCGCTCAGCTCGGCGTTCTGCGTTGCCCCTACAGCCCTTTTGCATCCACAACCTCTTTTCGGCAACTATCAAACCTCACCAAGCCGGCGTTGCGCAGATATCACTTCCTCTTCGCTCCCGGTCTTACACGCCCCACTCATCCTCAGAAGCTCACAACACTGGGCCGAACGTGGTACCCGGTGATCCAGAGGTGCATGCTCATGCACCTCACGCCCCATCTCCAACAGCTCGCCTGATGTGCTTACATGAGGCCCGCTATTTGCAGACGGGAGGAACCGCAAATACAGCCATTCTGACCCCCATTCAGTAAACATACCGAGCTTGCCTCACCCATGGAATAAGCTCACAGATCGTCATGTGTCCTCTGACTTGGAAAACGTTGTTTGCCTTTAGTTACCGCGACAGTCACAACAGATGCTCAAAGAATATTGATATTGTATTGGCTGAAACCACAACCAGCAAACGATTTCTAGATCTGCCATTTGAACGCCGCGCTGATAGACAAGGTTCGAGGGGCCTAAGCCATGCAAGTATGCTGTAAAATGCAACAGGTACGATGAAGTCTTCACTTCCGTATCAGACCAGTCCGTTCATTCGCGCCCTCGCCAATCTCCTCCTCTTCATCTTCGTCTTCGCTATCATCTTCGCTCCACCCTTCGGCTTCCAGTCCATCGCCACGAATACCGAAGCTTAAAAGGAAACCGAGGAGTGCGATACCAGCGAAAATGCCAAAAGGCAGGGCTTCACCTTTGGGCTTCAACTTGGTAGCTGCTGTGAAAAGCGAACCTGACACGAAGGGTCCGGCAGCGCGACCAGCAGCAGAGAGCGTCTGAGCGAGGCCATTCAGCGTACCGAGCACGTTGTGATTGGGTGCGGAGTTGGTGATCTGCATAATGTCAGCATCTGTAGAGCGCGTCATGTTGGAATGAGAGTAACTTACCATAAGGAGTGCAGCTGTCAGGCCGCCGACACCTGCAATCGTTTTGATAACCAGCACAACGCCGAGCTCAAACCACAACCAACCAGCACCCGTACCAATGCCCTTGTGTCCGTTGCTCTCTTTGTAGCCCACAAACGGCATGAGACCGAAGGCTGCAATGAACAGCCCTAAGCTGACTCTGTACCCCATCTTGTTGCCCATCTTGTCTCGAAGCCTGCCAAATATGCCCACCTGGAACAGTATCGTTATAGCGCCTGCGAATGACAGAGATAGTCCGACAGCCTCAGGCTTCAGCCCGCGTCCGGTAGGTGGTTGCTCTTCCGCGAAGATCGGATACAGAGAATTGTAGGAGATGTTAGCGAGCTGGAATATGAAGTACGTTATGAGAAGCAGGACTGTGTCCCGGTTCAAGATCTCCTTCCGTGTAAGTTCGTCGCCGCTACTGTGTGGGAATAGTGTAGGCGCAGATTCCTCAGAGGCGTCGGATGCGTCGTCCTCGTCTACATCGTCCACACCACCGTGTGAGTTGTGGGTTTTGTGATTGCCTAGGAGGCGTCGTACGTAGGTAGGTCGCGTGGAGCTCGAGAACTGCCACATCCATGAGAACAAGTTGCCCAGTCTCTTTCCGAGAGGTGGCAGATTCTTGGCTTCTTCCAAACTCTCCTCCAAGAAGAGCATACACACTATCAGGTCTATCGCGAGGACGAGGGCCGAAAAGAGGTTCGGGAGGAGGTACGGGTAGGGATTCGACTGGCTCTTGTTGAACGGGTTCTGATAAAGCACCAAGAGTCCTCCTACGATCGGTCCCGTTATGCCACCGATACCGTAGACGACGGGCAGATAGGTAAATGCGCGCGATTGGTTGCTTCGATCCGTGATCTCGCCCAAACACGTCGACACAACGCCAGAGTTTCCGTTGACCAAGCCCATCAGGGCCTGCACGAGTATAGCTTGCCATAGCTCCCTGCAGAAGCCAAAAGCCAGAAAACAGCACATGGTCAAAAATGTGCCCGTGATTATTACCGGCTTTCGTCCGATCTTATCCGACAGCCAGCCCCAAAAGAAATTTGTTGTGAATTGTGCCAACGCGAAAGACGACGCGATGAGTCCGACGTATAGACCCGTCTGTCCATCCTTGACAGCGGAAAACGATTTCGTCATCTCAGGCAGATAAGGGCCTATTGAGTTGAGTGCGGTTTGCTCAGCGAGAGCTATGACAGCTAGCACGATGAGCTGCTTCGTCGGTAGGGGCTTTTCATGGTGGGTATGGCTGCCGTCTTCGGATCGGTTGCCATCTTGACCGGACGGGGCGTCAGATGGTGGTCGGCCGCGGGATTTAGGGGGGATAGTTGGGAAGGTCGTGTAATCTACATGGGGATGTACCAGTCAGTATATGTCCCCTATCTATTCCGTATAGGATGTTACCTACGAAGCGTTGACCTGCGCGCATCAAGGCCTGGCCGGGTTGATGGCATCGTCGCGGAATGTACTACCTCTGTGAGGCCGAATTGCTATAACAAGCTTTCGCATGCATTGGGGCGCAGGGCTGTTGCTGGTTATGTCGACACTAACGCGCAGGGCTACACAAGAATGTCAGATAACTCTATAGAGGCGCGATTTGATGATGGGGTTCTTGAATGCAGGAGGCTGAAAGATGCGGTTCGCTGTACAGATTTCAAGCTGGGATCACGCGCGGCTCAAGCTACGTCATTATCGCAGGAACCCGCTGGCTTGGCGCGAGATCTACATCCTCGATGCTGTCTCTCGATCACGTCTCTGACTAATCAATGTTTCCTTCACATCTTCTCTTCATTTCGACATCGTCTTTTGGTTAGGCAGGTCCGATTGACATACGTTGCGCTGTTTGCGACAACCCGCTGGCCTACCCAACGACTTCACAAACACAGATCCCTGGACGTGTTTTCATCTCGATGCACATCAAGCCATGTTCGCATGATGCGAACGGGACAGGTGAAGCTTGGGAAGTGCGACAGACAGTGTGCATGCCGGTCGGCAGAGGAGGCTGGCGAATCCAGACACAGGACCCGGATGCGATCGTCTAAGCCGGTCCGCGAAAAGAAACATAGAATCATGCTGGAGCTGCGACTACCTGGGACCACGCTAGACGCACATCGACATTGCTGGCCCAAAGGACTCTAGCTACATGCATGCATCGCGGCACCTACTCGATCATCTGGCAACCGCGTCGCGGACAGGCACATGACATACCTAGGTATCCAAAGACCTGGAAGCGGCTTTCTTGGCATGCTGCGATACCATGATCCCCCACATTCCTGATTAATTATCGAAAGGGCTGACCGCTCATCCTCAATCTATTACGCCCTGGCGGCTCGCCAAAGCTATTGGACACCTCGCGAACACTGAAAGCTGACTGGCGATACAAGTCATCGGTGGATGCGGATTGTCAAGATGATCACCAGTCGCTTAAACCTAGTAGAATCGAAATCTTCGCAACTCGCTCATATCTTCTCAAACATTGGATGCCTTACGAAGTTGTTCGGACTCGACATCGGAGGTGTGTGATCTTCGCATCCGCCTGATCCTCCTGTACCTCAATTATTGCTCGGCGAGGCTTATGAGCGCATTTGAACCAATACAACCATGCGACATAGATTACACTGCAGCCAAAGTGCTGGCTCTGGGCATCCATGTGGAGATTTCGGGTTCAAGATGTTCAACGAAATTTGGAGTATAAAAAGTCTAGTGAATTCCTCATAGAAACGTCGAATAGTCAGAAGACCCAGTTCAGAGCCGCAGGTACACCGCGGTCTTTGTTTGAAGGCCTCTCTTCTACTTGGGTCCCCACTTGGTTGCCCCTTCACATCTCCTCTTACTTCTGACTGCTACTTCTCGCCCACTCTCTTCTGCACCTCACTACCTTATCAACTACAAATCTCCAAACATGCGTTACTCAACCCTGCTCCCGGCTCTGTTAGCCATACGCTCAACTCTTGCAAGACCAAGCCAACCCGAGATCGCCAACACCACAACCCTTCCCACTCATTTCGGTCTACTCACATTCCCACACTTCCAAGCTCTCGACATCTTCGGCCCCATGGACGTCCTTAACTCACTCTTCATGTACTACCGAAACACATCCATTGTGCCACAGTTTACAGTCTTCAGCAAGACCATGGATCCGGTGACATCGGCCATGACGGATGGAGGCTTTGGGCAAGAGATCATGCCAACCATGACTTTCTCAGACTATTTGGATGGGCCTTCTCTAACAGATAAGGGCGCAATCGATGTTCTCTTCGTCCCTGGCGGAGGAGGCACTCGTAGAGACATGACTGAGGAGATCAACTTCGTCAAAGCCACGTACCCAAACGTATTTACTCATCCCCTGCCCATCCCTTCCAATCACTAACAAGCTACCCCACAGCTCAAATACATCGTCTCCGTCTGCACCGGCGCCACAATCCTCTCGCGCGCAGGCATTCTTGACGACCGCAAGGCAACCACGAACAAGGCTGCCTGGCCCTGGGCTACATCGACCGGTCCCAACGTAGACTGGGTACCAACTGCGCGATGGGTCGAAGACGGCAATATTATCTCGACCAGTGGAGTTTCTGCGGGTATCGATGGAACGTATGCGTTTGTCAGTCGCGTGTATGGGGAAGAGGTTGCGCATTTCTTGAGTTTGGCTCTGGAGTACAACCGTGAGCTGGATCCGCATCATGATCCTTTTGGCAAGGTTTGGGATGTTCCGGGTGCTACTTAAATTAAGGTGTGTCGTAGGATGAGTAGAGTGAGAAACCGATAGGAACTGGTGGTGTATGGGGATACCCAATAGGATAGCCCAATCTCACTGCATCTGCGCCTGCATCATCGTGCGTCTGCACAACCGGCTGACCGGTAGCCTTCCAAGGTTCTCTACAGTCGCAATTTACTCTCTACTTTCTCTTCTGTTCTTCCCACATACTTGACGCTTATTTTCCAATGGAGTCGTCTCTACAACTCCCAGATCACACATGTCTTCCTTTCCGTGGCGTAGAGAACGACGATAAAGCCTTTCGACCATTAAACCCCGAATCTAGAGAGATACGATGCGTTATCCTGTTGCCTGGATCTGGAGCCGACCCTATCGCATGCGAATTAGTGTATACCAGCATTGATAAAGATAATACCACCCGCGTTGAGTACGTTGCGCTATCGTACTGTTGGGGGGACGTCGAAGATACCGTGGAAATCTCGTTGCAAGGCCCGACGACGAAGTCGTCCGATACGGGTCAAGAGCCCATCACCGCGCCCTTCCGGATCACGCGACACCTCCACTCTGCACTTACTGCCTTGCGTAACGAGAGACGACAGTGTTTCTGGATAGACGCGTTGTGTATCAACCAGCAAGACCCGCATGAGAAGACGCATCAGGTTCAGTTCATGGGCAACATCTATTCGTCGGCTGAGTCAGTTTTGGTGTGGCTAGGCCCAGAAGATGGATACAGCCGCTACCTGCTGAGAGCGTGGAGAGCACATCTACAGCCTCTAGTCTACAGTTATGACAGTAAAACGCTAGTCGACAAGATTTACGAAGAACTGTGTAAGAGTACACACACTTTGTGGACTGATTTGGAGCGAGACGAGGCACTCAGCGAACTTGCGCTCGACCTTGATCAGGAGAGATTGGATGAGACGGCCTCACCCGACCGGTACAAGCAAGCACTATGGGTTAGCTTCGACGGGCTTTTCAGTCGACCATGGTGGAGCCGAATTTGGGTTGTGCAGGAGGTCTATTTGGCTCCTATGGATGAAGAAGGCGGTCGCAAGGTCGAGTTTCGAATTGGAGACCACGTTTTACACTGGAAGGAAATAATGCTGATAAACATGACACTGCTTCATATCATCAGACTACCGGATGACTATAACCCTGCTACACTTCCTTCCTGGGATGAGATCTGGAATCGCTGGAAATTTCTTATCTTCATGGGCGAGGCAAACAAGCAGTTCTCGTTGAGTCAACTACTCAAGCTGACAAGTGTATTTCACGCTTCAGATCCCCGGGATAAACTCTTCGCCTTGCTTCTGCTGGCTACAGACACCAGAGATTGCTTCCGGCAAGAGCCTCTTATCAATCCAGACTACACCAAACCAGCAAAAGCTGTCTTCGATGACCTCATGATATTTTGGGAGCTAAACCTTAAGACGCACGAGATCCACTTTGACGAGGGAGGGGTCGTGTACCAGTATAACTGGTTGAGTTAGGATGGCAGTCTGCACGAATCTTCCCTACGCAGATACAGGTTTGTTGTCACATAAGCGTTCTCAAGCATGTACTTACCTATAAATCTGGTTCAGAGTAATGATGTCTAGAATGGACATAACGTCTCGATATACCAGGGACGTTAGTGAGGCGGACAACGATGGTCAGTTTAGTATACTAATGTCAGTCATTTGCACACAAGCGGGTAGCATACCATCATCACAGCCGACTGCGGACGTTCTACTTCCAGAATTCGCATTAATGATGACATTCTAATGTACAGCTTCGGGAGCTTACTGACCTTTCATGCCCACGGCAGCACCATCCGGACAACCGTTTGTTAGCCACCGTCGAGCCTTCCTCATATCGGCAATATGGGTGGAGGTTTGGGGATCGATCATCCAAACTTTACTGCAGACGAACACCAGCAGTACCCTTCTTCTTCGCCTGATCATCAAACGCATTCCCCAACCCACCACCCCCACTCCTACTCGCCTCAAGCGAACTCTCAGCCATCTTCTTCTTCTCAGCAGCAACCTTATCAAGTTGCTTCTTCGTCTTCGTGTTTCCACTGCCCTTGCCGTGGAACTGGTGACTGAGCTGCTTGAAAGCTTCTTTCTGGTTCATGTGGCGGCCGTGTTCGTCAACATATTTCAGTTCAATGTTGGGCGTGTACTCCTTGTTAAAGAGCTCAGCGAGACGGCGACTCTCTACCATCTCGGCGCTGGTGTTGTTTTTGCGGGCCCATTCTTCGCGCTCGCGCGGCGTCATGTTGTTCCAGCGGGCGGAACCTCGTTCGCGTTCACGGGCGATCTTGCGTTGGCGCTCAGCGTCCGCTTCGGCCTTGTTCTTGTCGGCAATGAACTTTTGGCGGTCGCGGTACATGGCGTTCTTGTCGGAGGCGTCGGACTCTGTGACCAGACCTCGTTGCTTGAGTAGGGCGAGAGTGGCACCTAGACCTTGGTCGACAGTCTTTTCTGCCTCGAGACCCGTTTCGGTAATGTCTGTGGAGCGAGCGCGCGAGATGCTGCGGTTGCGGGCCTCTTCTGCTTCGGCGGCTTCAGCGTAGGATTGGCCCATTTCGACATCACCGTCTTCATCAGCGACGGGGACATCGCCCATAGACTTTGTGCCCTCCGAGATGTGACTGGACTTTCTGCGCTTCCGGCGGGCTTCCTCCTCGTCGGCATCGCCTGCAGCACCTAGGTTTTGTACGAACTCGGTTGTTTCGTCGATAACAAGGCCGCCATCACCATCTTCTGTTGATTCCACAACGTCTGGCTGGGGCGTTGATGCGTCTTCACGTAATTGCCGTGCAAGATCTTCCGGTCGCATCTTCTTGCGCTTCTTGAGTGCCTTTTGACGCTGCGCCGCGAGATTCGCTTGGAGGTCGTCGTCATCCACGAACGACTCGTCGAACACCTTTTTCTTCTTCTGTTGTAGCGCGGATGATTCACCACCGTCAATGTCCATGTCGTCGCCAGCTGCAGTGTCTTCTGCAGGCATAGCAAGCATTTCCTCATCATCTTCGACGCGTTCTCGCTTGGATTTCTTGCCCTTCTTCTTCTTAGGCTTCTTCATCTTGACTTCGGAAACGTCCATGTAATCGTTGGTGGGCGCATCCTCTTTGAGTATGTCCAGACTGATCGCAACCTTCTTTGGTCTTGAAGCGCCCGCGACTTCAGCCTGCACGTCTTCAACAGTTCGGCCCTTGCCGTCCAATGTGAACGCATTGCGCTTCTTGCCCTCAATCTCCTCGTCGTATTGTGCAAGTATCGACTTCTGGCCTCCCTCGTCCATATCGTTGGGGTCGTATGCGCGCTTCCGCTTCTTCGAATCGAGTCGCTCTTGTAGTCGCTCCTTTTCTCTGAGTTCAACCGCCTCTAGCTCGTCATCGTCTTCCGCATCGACTGCAGTGTCCTTGAGAACGAGGATCTGGTCCTCGTCGTCGAATTGGTCGATCTCGTGTCCGACTTTGACACCAGCAAGGTCCTTATCGGTATATTGCATGGCCTCAAGCGCCTGGCGCTCGCGCTCTTCGAGCTCCTTGCGCATCTGCTCCTCCTTGGCGATCTTCTTCTGGCGCTTCTTGCTGCTCTTCAGCCAGGCCAGGTCATCGTCGACGTCTGCTTCGTCCGCCAGCCCCTTGCCCTCGAGCTTTGCAAAGCGCGCCGCCTTTTCGCGCTCCTTCTTGATCGCCGCGGCGCGTTCTTCACGTCTTATCTTGGCCAGTCGCGCTTCTTCCAATTTCTTCCAATTGTCCGAAGCGGCGGCCTGGCGCGTGTCGATGGTGCTCGCAGGCTCTTCGTCTGAGTCGTCGCCATTTTGCGCCGCCTTGAAGTCCAGGCCGGGGGCTGCGGGTGCTGCAGGCGTGCTTCCACCGGGGAGAGCAGAGAGGCCCATAGACAGACGAATCTTGTTCGCCTCGTCGATGGATAGGTCCGCCATGGCTGATGCGGTCGTGATGTCCTGTCGCAACGCAGAGGTTTATGGTCCTGGGAGGCCTGGAAGGAAAGTTGTGACGGCGCCGGAAGTTCGGGATCTTCAATACACTTTCGAGCAGTGTGCAGAAAGGGTCGTCGCAAAGAGTGAAGGCACACTCAGTATTCCCCAAAGGTGAAGTTCGGTAATAGGTGCCTACTCGTGACCTGCGGGCAACATCGCACCTCAGCCCACACATTTCCCGCCAAGCCACTACCCACTAGCGCGCCGGGGTTCAGCCGAGCGACATAAAAAAAGTTGCGCGTCCTCACCCATCGAGTTCTCACCACAACGCCCTGTGTTAACGTCTCCTGTCCACGTCCTTTCGGGGAGCCGTGTGATGGTTGAGATGTTGACAGTTCGTCCATCATGGAGCCTTCTTCCTCAATAGAACGCTTCGGACGACAGGCAGCGCAGAGCAACTTTGGCAGCTTCCGGCAGCCTGAGCTCACCGTTCACGCGGTTCGAGCTCGGTGTATGGTTGTCTGTCAGGCAGACTGATTCCGTTTCCCTTTTGCTAGGCCGTTGGCCACTGATGCTTGGGACTAACCCAGTCGGCTACATGCCATCTTCATGAGTGATGCTTTGCGATTGCGCAGCTTTGCGCTGGTTGATCGTGAAGTCTGATAACTTTCCATGCGACTAGCTGGAAAAGCGCGACGGACGCGTTTACGCGTTTTGGAGGAATTGCATCATGCGCGAAGTCATGTGAATGCGCTTGATATGCGAAAGAGCCGTAGAGGCTGATTTGAGAATGAAGCCGGCCTCTGCGCAGAAGCCGCCGCTGCCCCATGCATCAACGCGCACCAACATGTCATAATCACTGGGCACATGGTCTCGTATTGACGTCGTGATATGCCATACAATATACATATGTTACAATATCTCAGCCTGAAGCCGCTAGATTGCAGTCCAATTGCTGGTAGAAGACCACATAGCCTCCTCGTGTTTCTCATCTCAATCCTTCGTAACTTCTCCCATACCACACACTTAGTTGGCAGCCGGTGCCTCACCCCTCGCCAACTTGAGCAGCTCAGCCTCTCTCCGCTCCTTCAGCAACTTCTCCCTGACCAGCACTCTATCCGCCTCCGACCTCTCCTTGAACTCCTCAATCTCCTTCATCTCAGCGAGCTCCTCCTCCGTTGCTTTAATTTCCACTGCGCCTATCTTCTCCACTAGTGCCTCCAAGATCTCGCTCTCCGACTGGTCTCTCATGTCAATCGAGAACGTGGGTTTCGAGGTATCGGGTACGAGCGTATTGCGCGGGTTTGGTGTGGCGGACGGTGGTGAAGCGTCTGATTGTTGTGTTGTAGGAGAGTTGGTAGAGCCAGCCGATGGCTGTGTTTTGGTTGCTGTGAAAATGTGTAGGAGCGAGGGACCGTCGGGGTTATTGTGTCGCGCGACTTCCATTGGGATGGATGGATTACGGTATTTCATCCGGGGCAGCATATTGCGCCAGAATTTCCTGTTCGTAGAGTAAGCGCTCGATCTTGTCATTGCGTACAATTGCCAGCTCTCAAACATAGTGCTTGAATTGGCCTCATATTCTTGGCCGTCCTCCGGTACATGTAACGGAGCAATGCCAACATACCTTGCCCCTCTATGTCCTCCGTAGAGTTTTGTGTTGAATTCCATGCTAATCTTCGACACCTCTTTGGGCAGTATGAGCGCGCCTGGTCCACATCTTATCCATAATAACTGTCGCAGATGCTAATGTCAGCATTGTTACAATTCAGGTATCTCGAGTTGGTCGGGTTCGATTGTAGGCTTCGACGTTTTCGGAGGTGTCTGCGGAGGTGGATCTTACGTACGTGCTGCGGTGCTTGTTAGTCTTGCCAAACGAGTAGACATGCAAGGAGATTAGCTACTTGCCTCGCGTAGCTTGCGCATGCGCTTCAATATGTGCACCATGGTTGCTGTGATGTGATATTGGACTGGGGTTGCGGAGTTCGAGAGATTCTCGGGCATTGCCCGTAGCGCGATCGTGTCTTGGCAGCCCTGCAGATGAGATGCATCAACTGTTCACTCAAAAAAGAACATTCGGTATAGATAGTAGTATAAGTGAGCATTGCAATGATTGAACGCCTTCCCAGGTATCTGAGCTACATCATTCTTCCACTAAACATATCCAAATCTCCATCCCCATTTGCCGAGTACTTCCACGAGCCAGTCCAGGACAAGTCCACTTCCAAGACTGTATTCGCATCGCTCTGTTGGGTATTGTGTGCGATCGCGCACGATGTTTGTCACGTTCCTGTCGTGCGACTCTACTTCACAGGAAGCAGGAGTGTAGGCTTTTACCGAGCAGGTTGTGCGGCGGCGGCACGCGTCTCTGCGGGAGTTGGTCCCGCCATGCGCTTGCTCCTGGAATTGGGATTAGCATGTGCATTGCATCTCAGAGTAATTCGGCTTACATGAATGACCTGCTGAGGAAGGAGATGATGATCATGGGCATCCACGAGGGCATCTTGGAGAATCCCCAGGTGACGTATGCGTAAGGAATGGCAAGGTTGTACTGCTGGAGAGCACCGTTGAAGGGGTGGAAGGGACCCTCGTATGGGGTGACCTGCTCAATCTCGTTGTCAACGATGAGCTTCTTGAAGGTCTCGGTGGTGGTGCTGGTGCGGTTCAAGGGCTTGTAGCGAACGACGGGGACGGGCGCGGACTGGTCAGCCATGGGCTTGGGGACCTGGAAGTAGTAGAGCGCCGGTGCGCCGACAGACCATGCGTTGCAGAGGAGAGGCTCGGTTTCGCAGTCAAGGTACGCAAACTTGGGCGCATCAGGCTTCGCAGCCATGATGGGGAGAGAAGCCTGGCTGATGTTAGTGTCGGTCATCTGTATGTTCGCATGCTATACGTACATTCCATGCCTTGGTTGCGTTGCCACACAGGCCAAAGCAGGTAGTGTTGCCGCCGGTGGTGAAGATGAGCCAGTCCTGTGTTGTAGGAGGACTGGCGGTAGCGTCAACAGTAAGCGTCTCTTTCCAGTTCTCCAGAGTAATTGGGTACTGGATGGCGGCAGCTGCGTTGGAGGCCACCTTGCTCGTTGCGGTGTCGACTGGCGCCGACGGCATGGAGGGGATGGATGCGGACACGGCGGCCGTCGCCTTGTTGAAGAAGCCCTTCACCTTGTCAAGGAGAGGCACCTGCTCCTCGGCGACAGCGAGCGCCGGGAGAGCGAGAACGAGGCCTGATGAGAAGCGCATGTTGATTGTGTGTGGAGGGAGGTGTGGTGTTGAACTGCGAAAGCTGCGGGTGGTATGCTTGCGCTCTTCTGCCTGATGATGCCACAGGGTCCAATTGGAGCGACGTTGAAGTAATGTGGGGGATGCAGCTCAACGTCAGAGGCAACCACTAACAAACGTGAAGGAGCGGTAGAAATGTAGATGCAATTGTCGCGCGAAGATCGCAAGGAAGTTCCCAGGTCGAGATAGCTAATAATATGAGGAATAGGGATGAGGACTAATAACCCGGCTCTTCTGCTCGAGCTTGGCAGTCCAGAGCTCTGCCGCGAAATTGGGAAGCCTGGGCCAACCGTTCGTCAACAGCCTTCATCATCACGGACCTGGTGCGTACGCGTTCACTCTTCACCAACCGGACGCGTTACAATGCACACATTCGCGACAAAGTGGACCGAATGACCTATGACGCGAGGATCTATTTGGATAAACATACATCAACTGTCTCTCACACAGGCCTGCCTACCCGGATATCCATTCCCAGCATTCCATCTCACCTCATCTCGTTCCATCCCGTCATCATCATTTCCTAGTAGGCCCATCAAAACTCCAACCTGGTTGCACAATATGTGCCGCCAAAGTGAATATGAGTTCCTCTCCACTCTCTGATCTCGAAAGCCGTTGAAAAGGAGCTTCTATTGGCACATCAGTACAACCCTATCTAGCTCTAGGGATATGTCGACATACTCTCATCCTGCAGCTTCCGCGACACATTGGCACTCATCGACGTCCTAGAGCCTGCTGTTAGTAAGCTATCGCCAGAACCCCTTGAGGTCCCCGTCGTAGAAGTGTCAATACCTTGGCCCAATCTCCTCGCTAGTTCCTCTCTGAACGCCCTGTTAGGTTCTGGTCGATCATCGGCTTCTTCTTTTGCGGAGTAAGCGGTACTCCATCCACTAGCTCCTGACACTGGCAGACGGTTACCAGCGTCCCTGACTTGAGCTCGCTCGTGCTCTTCTACCTCGCGACTGTGTGCTGTTTCTTCGTACAATACCTTGCCCGCGTTCGGATTAACACTACAGTCTTTTTTCTCTTCAGCTGCCACACTACGTAGTTTGCGTGGGCCAAGGATATCGCCAAATATGGCGGCCATATTGGGTGGTCCCGCTAAGCGTGGTGGAGGGGGTCCAGGTGGAGGAGGTGATCTTGCTGCTGGTGGAGGCGGAGGAGGAGGTGGAACTGGAGGAGGGGGCGGTGGCGGCGGTGGTGGGATTGGGGGAGATGCCGCTTGCTGGGGAGTTGGCATCGGGATGCTTTGTAAGAACTCGGGTGAGAAACGATTTGGTGGCGAAGGGGCGCGTATTGCATGCGACATAATTGGTGACGACGACCCTGAAGAACCCTCTGATACATCCGAAGAAGGAGGTGTATCTGCATATGAACGTATAACAGGAGAAGGAGGCGTATCCGGGTATGGAGGTATAACAGGAGAAGGAATGCTCTCTGGATATTGAGCGACCATAGTTGGAGAAGGAACGCGCTCTGGATATTGAGCAGCCATAATAGGAGAAGGAACGCTCTCCGGATATTGAACAGCCATAACAGGGGAAGGGCGTGTGCCCAGGTACGGCACTTGATCATGAGCGGGCTGTTCATCATCCCCTCCATGCTCCAGATAATCATGGTCTTCATAATCATTGTCTCCATAATTTCCATAGCTCCCTGGCATCGGCGAACCTGGAGCTCGGTCGTAGTAGCCTGCTGCTGCACCGTGTTCAGACGCGGGAGGCTGGGCTGGTGGCACATACCAGTCTTGCTCTTCCGGAGCAGGGGGTTGCGCATACCAGTCATGCGCTACTGGAGCAATTGGGGGTGTACGATTAGGAGGAGTATTGGAACGGATAGGTCTGCTCGGCCGTCTTGGAGCCGGTGGAGGAGGAGACTTCAGAGCAGTAGGGGCCTGAGAATTGCGAGCCACCGGATTTGACTGGGGAATGTGAGTTCCACTAGATGCAGGAGGCTGAATACGAACCGTGGGAACCGGCGAGCTACGGTTCTTCTTCCTGTCTTCCTCTTGCCTTCGCTTCTCGGCTTGCCTTCGCTTCTCGGCTTGCCTTCGCTTCTCATCCTGCTTGCGCTTCTCATCCTGCCAGTGCTTCTCCTCCTGCCTTTGTTCCTCAATTTGCTTTCGCTTCTCATCTTGCCTTTGTCTCTCACGAAGCTCGTCTTGTTCACGGCGGGGAGTCCCACTAGCCGTAGGAGGCTGAACACGAATCTCAGGAATCGGCGAGCTACGGTTCTTCTTCTTGTCTTCCTCTTGTCGCCGTTTCTCGTGTTCACGACGACGCTGGTCTTGTTCGCGACGATGGCGTTCCCGTGCTTCCTTCTCAGCAGCCATTTGTTTCGATTCATCGCCCTGCGTCTTTTCAGGTTTCCGTTCGGCCCATCTGACACGCTCTGGTTCACTCTTTCGTATCTTCTCCCTCTCTCTCCTTGCGCCTTCCCTTATTCTGTGACTATGATCCTTCGCATCCGTCTTCATCTTCTCCTTCTCTTTCCTTTCGCCTTCTCGGAGTCTGTCACTGTAATCCTTCGCATCCATCTTCTTCTTCCTCATCCCGTCAATGGCGTTCTCCAATGCGCCTTTGGTCCGATGGCCTGCTTCATGCTCGGCTTTGATATGTCTATAGGTGGCCATGATGTGATCCCCGAGACCCATGGCTATGCCGCCTTTGCTTTTGTACTCGGGTAAGCTACCGAACGGTGTGCCATCCGGTCCTTTCTGCTGACTTGTTGGAGATCGTGATGCGCCTATGCGACCTGAACGATGATCCAATTGTTTGGTACGTGAGCGGTCACGATGATGTGAGCTCCGGTGCCCTCCAGACTTTCGACGATGAGATCGATGGGGTGTACGAGATCTTTTACGTTCTGTACGGTGTGCTTCCTTGCGTCCACGAGATCGCGATCGGGGACGAGGCTCAGGAGCCAAATCTTCCCATGAAGTTTGATAACCGCTGCCGCCACTTCCTGGCCGATCTCCGGCTCCAGGCAATGGAGCGTCTACACTCTGATGGCCATCATGCAAAGTATCTGCCGGTCCTGCTCCACCGGTCATATGATACTCAGAGTCATCGTTGTGAGGGGGCTCAGTGACTGGGTCGCGAATGTCTCTGCTCCGGTCGCGTCGGCGTGATCTGGAGCGTCCATCCCGTGAGCTGTGACGGTGTCTTCCACGCTCTTCATCCCTCGATCTAGAACGGTGACGACGGTGTCGATGTCTACCACTGGATCCATGACCGTGTTCATCACCGCGCCTATGCCTACGGTGCCTCCTATGCCCATCCTTCCCACTCTCGTCCATACCGTTTCCCTTCCTATGTCTCCTGTGCTTCCCTTCTTCTTTCCCCTTTCCCTTCTCTTCTGCTGCCTTCTCTTCTTTGTAGCTGCGATACAGCTTCACACCCTCAACCACAGCTTCGATGACCAGTTTGGCACCACTTTTCTCGTGACGTTCAGAGACCAGGTCCTGGACTCTTCCTTGAACTTGCTTGCGGTACGCGTCGTCGTCAGGCATTGGTAGTGCTCAGGTTGCGCGTGCGGATACATAGTCGGAAGGGAGTAAGTTGGGTTATGAAGGGAAAGCATGTGAAGCGGAAGGGTTGTGAATGTGATGATCATGGGCTGAAGTGGCAGCGAGCGGACACCACTGCTGGGAGTTTGGTTTGGGTTATGGAATGGAGTGCTGGGCTAGCAAACGCGGTGAATGTGTGAAGATGATGTGGCGTGAACATGCAATGAACGAACGGGGTTCTGTCATGGATGGAAGTGCAAATGCGAACGAGACCGAGGTCCATTAGCCAGCATTCAGGAGAAACACACCGATACTCGATCTGCGGAGTAAGGGAATCGAAAGCACTGAAGAATTGAGAAAGGGGTAGAGTTGATCTTATTAGAATTACGATATTGAAGCAGAAGTGGACTTCCCAGAGCTTAGCTCGTCGATTTCTCTTCGAATGTATTGTTGTGTCGTTCTCTGTAGGCGCGTAATCGCATGCATCGCAGTCGTCGTGTTAGGAGTGTGCCAGTAAGACAGTCCAGGTCCGCATGTTGGCCAAGTCCGAATGCCAAAACGCCGTTGGTATGCAGCCCATATCCATGTCCCTCAAGCCGTCTATGCTCTTTCTTCCCATCAAGATCATCCTCGTCCCTGATTTCACAATATTACCACCCCATTCCCATGCCCGTCCATCTTCCTATGCGTGCACCTACTCCTTTTTCTTCGCTTCGCCCTTCTTCACCCTGACGCCCTTGCCTCTGAAGTCGTTGGCGTCTAACGCATCTGTCTTCCCCAGGCCAAGGTCTTCAGCCTCCTTCTCTAGTTGTTGCTTCTGCTTCTTTGCGGCCGCGTTGAGCAGGTATGGTCGGATGAGGAGGTATGCGCCGACGATGGCGATGATACGGACCCAGCGCTGGGCTGTCATCTCTTCGAAAGACTTGATCGAGTTGTTGACCAGACGGTCCTTCCACTCGACCACGTTGTCCAGTACGTAGTCCATCTTGGGTATGTGATGTTTGTATTCGCGATTGTAGTTTTGTTGCGCAGTAGTGCGAAGGAGCGACGTCCGAATGCGATTACGGCTTCGTTGGTGGGTGACGCGAGATGAGTGTTTGGTGACTTTGTCGATAGACCGATGCGTGTGGAATTGTGCGTGAAAGGCGATGTTGACGAGGAAGTAATTGCGCGCAATAACAATAAATCACTCAAGCGTGGACCCCCAGGTGGCAGAACCCTGGGCGGTGACTTTCTCCCCGGTCATCACCGAGGCCCCGCTATTGGCCCGCGTTAGGCGCGTCGCGTCACTCGTCTGGCCGGCAATTACACGCGACTGAAATTCATCCACGCGGCGATATGGCGTCAAACGATGATGCCAAAGCAGAGCGCGAAGAGGTAGAGAACTCGTTGTCTGAATTGATGATGAGGTCGGGCTGACAATGTGCACAGCGGCTCAAGTCAGCCCTCTGGTACTCAATCGGCCAGTTCGTTGACGAGAAGACGTTGGAGAACGACCTAAATGCAACACCTCAGTTCATCGGCGCGCTTACTGAGCTTGTATATACTCAAATCGGTACGAACTACCTCGAGTCCTTGGATACTACCCAGACTACAGGGTGCTGACGCCGTCACAGCAAACACAGCCCGCGACCTCGAAGTCTTCTCCAAACACGCTGGACGCAATACAATCAATACAGATGACGTATTGCTACTTGGGAGGCGAAATGAACAACTGCAAGGCTTGCTGGAGAAGGAGCTTGAGGATATCAGAACAGCCGAGGGTAGGCGGGCAGATGGACAGCCAGTTGCTCGCGCACAGCCAGCCGCGGCAGGGAAGAAGCGAGGTAGGCCTGCTGGTACTGGCAAGGGCAAGGCGAAAGCCTGAATATACTCGGGGAATCATGTATGGACATGCCTGAAAGGTTATTGCGCTCGGAGTTTTGGAGTTGTGGTATGATACCCTCAAGCACGCCTAGTGAAGGCATACTCTGCACGTACATCTCGTGCAAACAATTATTGATTGGAGAATTTACGAGCCAACAACTAAAACTACAATAGTTATGCTCAACTACTGACTTTGTCTGTGGTTGAGACTACTCGGTGCGGCCAGTATGACACCCCAAGGCTAGCCCCTGCATCCGAGGGAAAGCGCCGGTACGCCAATCGTTCGTCAGCACGCCGCGCCTTCCAAACCCGTCGTCCCCAGGCTTCTTCTCACCACCACTGCATTCGTCGAGATGTGTTATTCAGCCGTGGAAACGATACATAGGCGCACGAAAGCGATGAATCGTTTGCTAATGACTCTTTCCGTAGGCTAATTGCAATAGATCATTGTTCGTGGACGCCACGCTGTTCATCAGATGCAGTGCCTTTATCTGCATTGTCCGCACTTGAATTGCTGCAGCAGTCAAGCTCCGCATTGTTTCTTTGTTACAATCACTAAAAGGCCGGTCCTCTTTTGTTGCACTTACAGATCATCCAAATATTCGCCTCCACCATGGACGCCCAAAACCGAAAAACGTCATTAGATGTGGCTTCCATCGAACTGGGGAGCCTGCCTTCACCAGCTCCAACATACAGCTCTACGTTCCTTTCGTATACCGCTCCTCATACGCCCCAAAACGCCACTTTTGGTTCAGCACCAAAAGGTGGCGCTTCAAACAACCCCTACCATCAAGCCACGCATGAGTCGCCTTCTTCGATCCCGCGCTACAGCAAAGCAGCTTCAAAGGAGATGGAGGAAGCTCAGGTCAAGCCCGACTACCAGGACACAAACCACCCCCACTTTGCGCAGTCTTTAGGACCGGGTTTCCCAACCTCACTGCCTGCACCGAGTCGAATGCCGCGAAAATGCATCCTTGTGCCGTGGGTACTTTTCGCCATTTTCTTCCTCATAACGCTGTGGTTCATTTCGATCTTAGCTGGCGCACGATTCCTCTCCATCATCCATCCGACATTGCCAGTTTCTACAGTGCAGGAGATTCATATCTACGTCAATGGAGAAGTGCTTCAAGGGAGCGTCTCTGTCTCTACTAGAACTCTCGCATTGCCCACGGACACTGTTACATCCACTGCAAATACTCCAAGCCCAACGGCACCAATATCCGAACCAATACCTGACACGGGCAAGGAAATGGACGGTCTTTCTACGGTGCTTGAAGGACGCACCGTACCAGCGCCTACAGGTTTCATCTTCAAAAGACGAGCCCCATGAGGAAGACATTTTCTCCGACTGAGGTGCTGCCCCACTCCAGGCGCCGGAGCAGCGCGTCATGAAGTGCAGCCTCATCAAAGGTAGTGAACTGTAGATTGCTTTTGCAATGAAAGTCGTTCACATGATTCATACGCATTCTCAAGCACATGGTACTCTATTTCTTTCAAACCGTCGACTACTGCATCAACGCTGTCTTGTGAAATTTCTCCGGATATCACACAACCCGTCAGCTGCGTCTACGAGCTTCGGCAACAAGAACACCGAAGTTTTCATGTTCATCGCGACTCGCTGCAGGATCGTGTTCCCAGCGAATCGCTCTCGCAGTGTTTTGAAACATGCGGCTGCACAGTTGAAACAGATTCGCTAACCCAAAGTAGCGAGACTGGAAACGCTCGCTTCCCAGCTTCTCCACCACCATGCCCACCCAATCTCGGATGGTGCCTGTCGCATAAACAAGCATCGCGGACAACGCCCAAAAAGGGCAGACTAGCACTTCATCTAGATGTACTGCTGGCGTGTCGCCTCTTGGCATCTGTCAAGGCGATGTCGTTCCCGTTGCCAGTGGCTGGGATAGCGTGAACGGGTGTCATGGAGGATTCCAGGCGGTTCGTCCTGATCTCCGGAACCATTAATCTCATGCCAGGCGCCTAAGACAGGGAATAGATCTGCGTGGGGTGAGTACAAAAGCTGCCGTCGTCCTGACTTCTCCAACTCATCATTCCATCAGGCCAGTCCTTTCTTGCACAACACTCGTTCCGGTTTTTGCCAACTTCATTCTTTACACTACATTCATTTCGTGATCAGGCATCACTAGCATATCTTTGCATACCAAGTCACTGTACATATCACACCGACGACATAACTTTCAAACTTCAAGATGTTCACCAAGGCCGTTTTCACCAGCGCTCTCCTCTCCGCCGTCTCGGCTCACCAGAACCTTCACCAGCTCTGGGTCAACGATGTCACCCCCGGTTACCAGGTCGGCATCCGGATGCCACCTTCCAACAGCCCCGTCACCGACGTAACCAGCGACGACATCGTTTGCAACGTCGGTGGCTCCAAGGTCCCCTCCGGTGTCGAGACCGTTGCTGCCGCTGAGGGTGACACAATCAAGGTCCAGTGGGACCAGTCCGGCCACCCAGGTCCTATCACCCACATGCTCTACGGACCCGTCGACGATGCTGCCCAGGCTACCGGTATCGGTGCCGGATGGTTCAAGATTGACGAGCTCGACCAAGTCGACGGCAAGTGGGCCAACGAGATCATGGGGGCGAACAACATGACCCACGAGTTCAGTCTCCCCACCGGTCTTGCCAGCGGCGAGTACTTACTCCGTTCGGAGATGCTGGCTCTTCACAGCGCCCAGACCGTCGGCGGTGCTCAGTTCTATATTGGCTGCATGCAGCTCAAGATCACTGGTACCGGCAGTGAGGGCTCATGCACACCTACCATTGAGCTCCCCGGCGCCTACAAGGCTGAGGACAAGAACATCTACATTCCCGACATCTACAACGGCTTCGACGCGACCACCTACAAGGCTCCTGGTGGCGCCGTTGCTTCCTGCGGTGGTGCCGGTGGTGCTAAGCCATCTGCTCCTGCTGCTAACTCCACCGTCCCTGTCTCTTCACCCGCCGCCGCCGCTTCCTCTGTCGTTGTTGCTGAGACCAGCGCTGCCGCTCTCCCTACCCTCGCTCCTGCCCGCCCCTCGATGAACGCTACCATCCCCAGCGCTGCCCCCGAGGCCCCTACCACCTTCGCTACTCTCGTCAAGCCTTCTGCCGGTATTGCTGCCCCCACTGGTGCTGTTCCCTCTGGAACTGCTGGTGCCGCTAAGCTCTGGTACCAGTGCGGCGGCCAGGGATGGACTGGCCCAACTGCCTGCGAGGGCACTGCCAAGTGCGTCAAGCAGAACGACTTCTACTCCCAGTGCCTCGCCTAAGGGAGAGCTTCTGAGACAAAAATGGCTATGAGATTAATCGGGGAGAAGGAGATGAGCTGGAAACTTTGATTGGAGACACCTTCTTGATGTTCATGTATATACCTTGACTTTGCAATTCTACTTCACATTACTTATTGTTCAAACGGTTTTCTGCAGCATGCGTGACGTAGACCCCCCGTGGCACGGATTTGCTGACGTGAAGCAGAGATGGCGGGCTGAGACGCGGCCGTTGCACAAGAGGAAGGAGCGTCATCGGCAGGTGGCTGGGTAGGAAGGAACAAAGGAGACTTCTTTCTTGTTCGAGAACGTCGGACGTCCGGCCCCTGAGTGACGTCTTGCCATGGTCTTGCCATGTGCTGATTCTTTTGCAGTCGCGGACGATCAGGTCGAAAACCAAAAATAATGCCGAATGCCTGTCGCGTGTGGCAGACGGTGTAAGGCTCGATTCGCAGGGCGGGCGGAGGACGAACAAGCGGCGGCGTTAGTGCATGTTTCAGATTAACCTTATGTATGGCAGGCCATGGTGGGCTGTTTGTACCACCACGGCGCGCTGTGTGAACAGCTGGCCTGGCGGTGCGGCTGCATATGCACAGCAGCCAGGCATGAAGGGGGCGACGTCATGCAGCGTGTCAGAGTCTGAACTGTCACGGACTTCGTCTTCCATGGCCGGCCGTTGTTGGTCACGGCTTGGGGTGGAGATGTCGCTGTGGCTCCTCAGTGGCTTCCCCGAAGTTCAAGGCCGCGGCCAGGGTGCCAGGGTCGTGCTCCACTCTCTCTAATTCACCAACCCACGTCGCTGTCCCGCTCCTAATTCCCCATCACCACCACAACACCGCCGCGCCTCCCGACTTGTGCCCCGACGCCCGAGCCATACTACGTCTTAATCTCTATTCTCTACACACGCCCACACTACACGTTCCGCACGTCGACGGCAGCTGCCTTTCAAGATACCCTCGACCGACCCGCAGTAGCCTACACCGCCAACCCTTGCAAATATGGCGGACAAGACCGAAAGACCCACGAGCTCACACAGTTCCGACAAAGACGGCGTAAGCAATGCCTGTTTGAACCTGGCGGCAGCGGAGAGCCTCACTGTGCGAGTTTGCTAACACGCGTGCGGCGGTGTAGGACGACTTCGAAGACGCTTCTGAGATTACCCCTCGCCCCGACTCACACTCCGAACGATCGCAGTCACGGTCACGCTCCCTCCTACAGCGAGAGTCTTCCAACTCCACCGTACAAGCCGGCAAACCAGTCTCCCCCAACCCTGCAGTGCCAAAACTGCCCAAAGAGGAGAGCGACGACAGCGAGGAGGATGACGACGATGATGACGACGACGACGACGAGGACGAAGATGACAGCGACGAGTCAGAGAGCGAACCCGAAATCGTCAAAAACCCTACCGAGACTGCACCGGCAGCCAAGTCACCACTCTTGACTGGACACAGAGTCTCAGTCACCTCAGACATGGATGATGTGTCGCTGGATAGTGGTGAGTACATCTACTCTGTTTGGCATAATCTAGGGCTATGTGATGTGTGCATGCTCGGCGAATCATGCTTCAAAAGCGAGGGCGCCCCGCACTCATTCACTCCCTAGCTACAAATGCGTCATGCGCCATTGCATGCTGAGCGCACAACCTGAGCTGACTCCCTACAGAAGGCTCCAAGGCTGCCGGCATACTCCCTAAACTACCACCGCGAGACTCTCGAGACTCCACAAGCTCCGCAAATGGCCTACAAGGCCTTTCCGGCACGATGGCACCCGTAAAATTCCCTCCTCCACCCGCACCGCCCGCTGTACAAGAGAAAGAGAAATCCGCGCCAGCACCGACGACCAGGAAGCTCACGGGCCCCTTTGCGTGGCTTTCGAGGAATAGTTCCAGCAAGAAGCCCGAGTCTCCACCCACAACTACAACAACTGCCGAGCGACGTCATACTGGGGCATCTATTGCAACCATCGGCAGCAATCCTGAGCTCACTTTGAGCAGGATCGAAGACGAAGGAGACATGGGCTCCAAGAACAGATCAAGCCAGGGCAGCCTGCGAGATCGCTTCAAGATTCTGCGGATGAGGGAAGAAGCGGGCATAACACTGGATGACACAACTGGAGATGGCAGTCCAGCAGCAGCATTAGCATCACCAGGCCTCGGTCTCGGCATTGCCAGCCCCACCCCTCTAGCTGAGGAAGAGCCAGGAAGTCCTCCAGCGCTCGCAAAGCAACCTACAATAAATCCCAAGTTGGCCCCCGGTACTGCTTCTGGTTTCGCCGCTGGTCCGGCAGGAGACGCGGCTGAGCCTGTCGATTGGGATCTATGGCAGTCAGTGGTCAACGAGGGCCCAGCCGCAATTGCGCGTACCAGCTCCGAAGAACTGAACCGCGCCATCGCCAGCGGTATCCCTCAAGTCATCCGTGGTGTTATTTGGCAAGTGCTGGCGCAAAGTAAAAGCGAAGAGCTGGAGAGCATGTACAGGGAGCTAGTCGCTCGTGGAACAGACAAAGAATACATGAGCGTCAGGAACAGCACCGTCAGCACCGGCCAAGCCAGTGCGAACGGAAAGGACTCGGTCGCTTCTTCCTCGTCTTCTGTGCATTCTGACTACTCGAGCCCGGCTACAACAGCTGCCAGCACGACTGCGCCATTAGGCTCGCCATCACTCACCTCGGACGAAGATCCCATCAAGGTACAAGCGAGGCTTGCGGCGGAGAAGAAGCAGAATGCAGTCACCATCTCGAAATTAGAGAAGGTCATCAAGCGCGATCTCGGAGCCCGAACGAGCTACTCCAAGTACCTCATGGCAGCTGGGCTACAAGACGGTCTCTTTGGCATCTGCAAAGCCTATGCTCTGTACGATGACGCTGTTGGTTACGCTCAAGGCATGAACTTTATCGCTATGCCTCTTCTCTTCAACGTAAGGTCTCAAGTTCCTGGCGATCGTCACTCCTAACTAACTTCGGTAGATGCCTGAGGAAGAAGCATTCAGTCTCTTTGTTACGCTCATGAACAAATATCGTCTACGCGACCTCTTTGTGGCTGATATGGCCGGACTCCATCTGCATCTTTACCAGTTCGAACGCCTTTTGGAAGATTTGGAGCCCGCTCTCTACTGCCACCTTCGCCGAAGAGAGGTCAAGCCTCAGCTTTACGCAACGCAATGGTTCCTTACGTTGTTTGCATACCGATTCCCGCTACAGCTCGTCTTGCGCATCTACGACCTAATACTCAGCGAGGGTCTTGAGTCTGCGATCTTGAAGTTCGGCATTGTGCTGATGCAAAAGAACGCCGAAACGCTGCTGGGTATGAAGGATATGTCTACCCTGACACAATTCCTCAAAGAGCGACTATTCGATGTCTACATTGACAAGGCTCCGTCAGCCAACTCCATTCTCGAGAATGGCTTCTTCGGTTCGACGGCCGGTATCGACAAGGAAATTTACCGCGCTGATACTCTCGTCAAGGATGCAGTTTCTGTCAAGATCACGCCAGAGATGCTCAAGCAATACACTGCTGAGTGGAAAGAACAGCAACGCGTAGAGAAGGAGCGCGAGACTGAACTTCATGGACTGAAAGACAAGGTCACGCATCTGGAACAGAAGGTCCGGTCTCTAGAGCATCGTGCTGAACAGTCCGACATGGAACATGTCCAGGTCGCTTCTGAGCTCATCAAGACCAAGGTCGAGAATGAGAACTTCGCTGAAGAAAACGAAACTTTGAAGACCAAGGTCTTGGAACTACAGAAGATCGTCGACACCCAACCTGCCGAGGTTGAAGCACGGCTGAAGAGCGAAATGGAGACTGTCATGCAAAAGAACATTGTCGTCCACAACGAGAACCGCAACTTAGAAGACTCGATGGCCGAGATGGAGAAGGAGTTGGTCGATGTCAAGATGCAATGGGCTACAGTAAGTTGCAACCTAGTTCGATGTTGGGCACTGCTAACCAGTCTTCTAGATCAACGAAGAGCACGAAGCGCTCAAGCAAAAGTGGAACAACATTTCGCAGATGATGAAGTAAGCCCGATAGTGGGCTCATTTTTGCATCAAAGGCATCGGATTGACTTGCATACAGCACGCAAGCGCCGCCACCCGTTGGGGATCAGATCTATTCTGTCGCGTCGATCGCCCCTTAATTCGTTTCTAATGTCTATATACATGTCCGCCTCGCACGATGCCACTTCTTGCGGGGCCTTGTCGCGCGTTATGCTTTGGCATCATCAGTTTCGCATCACTATCTATACCTGTGGCTTGATGGGACGGATGGAGATGCCTTCACTTGGATACAATCAGAGTTGGATAGCTTGCATGGCATGGAAGCAAGGTGTTTAGGAAAGTGGCGATTGAATAAGCATACGTCTATCTCTATAGACTCATGGAAGGTGTTTCTCGCTGTGTTTCGTTGGCTTGTAGTATCTTATGACGGAAGCCTAGTTGGTTAGATCATCAATAGAAGCACGAAATGATTCAACAGATATGTACATGCTTGCTGCCAACGAACGTCATGTTACTACATGTATCGTTCGTGCAGATTTTAACCTACCATCGTTGTCATTTGCTACTCAAGCTGTGGCCTTCCAAGGTTCCAAACACAGCACAGTATCAGTCCATGCCACATCGGGAAGCCACAGTGAAGCACTAGTCTTCGCTTATCTTATCGTGAACCCTGCAGGAAAAAGTTACCCAACCCCACAGTCATTCTGCAACTCAGATCGACGACGATGCAATCGCAATTGAAGATGGCCGAACAAGCGACAGAAGAAGATATCCTCCTCGCCAAGCGCATCATCTCGGCGGCAGAGCGTCACGATGTGCCGGCGTTGACCGTCCTGCTCAAGGATGGCTCGGCAAACGTGCAAGACCCCACAGCAACAGTATCAACATCACCACTACACGCAGCAATCGCAGCATGCGGTAAGGCTGAAGACGGAAAGGAGGCTGGCGATGCTGCAATTCAAACCGTAGAGACCCTCCTCCAAAACGGCGCCATCTGGAACGACCTCAACAAGGAAGACGAGACACCAGGATGCATCGCCCTCCGCCTAGGCCAAAAGAAGATTTACGAGATGATGGTCGAAGCCGGTGTTCGCGCTGAGATCCTCTTCGCGCGCCTAGAAGCCCTCGGTATGGGCGACAACGACGTGGAGGAAGCATTCGAAGAAGACACCACCGAGCAGCCCGCCGCCAAGAAGCAAAAGGTCTCCGCCGAAGACGCCAAAGCCGTGGAACAAGTCGTCGAAGAGAAGGTCCTCGACGATGTCTCCCTAGACAACAAAGCATATCTGAAATCCCAACTCCGTTACAAGCCGGGTATCTTGCTTGACGAATCTGACAACGCCGTCATGATGGACTGGGAAACGCAAATTATGCAACGCCACGCCGAGACTCTGATTCCCAAATCTGGTCTTCGCACTATGAATGTAGGCCATGGAATGGGTATTGTCGATACGGCGATTCTCACGCATGACCCCGCGGAGCACCACATTATCGAAGCGCACCCGCAGGTGCACCAGCGGCTGCGTGAGCAAGGCTGGTACGACAAGCCCAATGTCAAGATCCACGAGGGGCGGTGGCAGGATATTCTGCCCAAGTTGGTGGAGCAGGGCGTTGTGCTAGATGCGATCTACTACGATACTTTTGCCGAGGATTACAAGGCGCTCAAGGAGTTCTTCGCGGAGTATGTGGTTGCGCTTTTGGCCAAGGATGGAAAGTTTGGGTGGTACAATGGTCTGGGAGCTGATCGCCAAATTTGCTACGATGTTTATACTAAGGTTGCTGAGATGGATCTGTATGAGGCGGGCTTTGATACGCAGTGGGAGGATATCGATGTGCCGAAGGGACTGCATGGGAGTGATCAGTGGGAGGGAACTAGGAGGCCGTACTGGACGATCGATGTGTACAGGTTGCCTGTAAACACTTTCGTTAAGTAAATGGCGGATAGGATGAGGGTGGACACGTTTATTACACGGCACGTCAGGCCCTACGAGAACACGAACCAAAAGTACTGCAATGATGAATAACGCAATGAAGTGTATGTCGAGCAACTACCTTATTTCCTTTATCCCTACGATCCAACACTATCCCACAGTGGTCTGGTCGTGCACCGACGCACAACATCAAACCCAGAAACAGCGATGCCCTCACTTCATACAAGGAAAAGATTGAACAACCTGGAGCCTACGTAGACCTTGGGTCTTCTAATTTGCCCAACTAGAACTCGGTGTAGTCTGCAGACCTGTTCAAGTTATTCGTACTATAACATGGGCTGTTGTTCCAGGGGCAAATCCGCAGGCAACGATGATGTAGCGCTACTAAGCTCCGGGTGCGTCGTCGTTGACGGCTTCGTCGGAAGTGGGAGGCTGGCTGACTGTGGCGGGGACATCTTCTTGGGCGGCTTCTTCGTCAGCCGGGACGACTTGGATGTTTGAGCTGGCGAAGTCATAGAATTCATTCTGGTCCGCGGGAAATGCTCCTAGCACTTCTGGGGGGTTCTGGTCGTTTGGTATAGCACGGGTAATCTGCAATTCTCCGTTTGCATCGAGAATGTACCTTGGGTCATGGACTCCCGCTTGATCTGGCAGGAAGTCATCGACAGCGGGTCCATGTTCTGCGTCTATGTTCTCGTCGTCGCCGCGCTCCTCATCGTCTTCACCGTTGTTTTCCCCTTCCTCATCACCATCCTCACCATTATCTTGAGGGTGTGGAGTCGGAGGCGGAGGATGAGGATTGAACTGATCGAACAAAATGCCCTGGTTTTCGAACAACTCGATGCGATGCTGATCTAACGCGTCTTCGCGGACCCCGTGAGGAAGCATGTTGACAATAGCGCGTTGGTCGGGAGTCAGATGTTGCAGAACTTCCCATTCAGGATCATTCTGCGCATCACCTTCCTCCTCGTCATCTTCATCGTCATCGTCAGCCTGACGCTGCGCCTCGTCTAGTGCACGAGCACGCAGGATTTCTTGACGACGAGTGAGACCTTCACGACTGAGGCCACTATCACGATGGAAGCCGTCCTGGTTGTATCCTTCCTCATCGTACTCCGCGGGTCCGTATTGCGGGCAGCCGTGCATTCCAGGCCAGTTCTCGCCGCAGATGTAACAGAATGAGTTGCCGCACTCGCAGGTAATGTGATTGCAAGCCTCGGCCAACTCCACGGTTGCGCCGCAAACGAAGCACTCTTGATAGCCCTTCTCGTTCGCAGTCTGCTTGAACTTCTTATCGTCTTCGTTCTGGTCGCACTTGTGATTCTGGGTTCCCTGGTCGAGCAACGTCCTGCACTTAACACAGGTCAACTTTCCGCACTCTTCGGCCTCGCAGATGGCATATGTGATATTCGTTTCGGGGTCTTCGACGTGGGCTCCGGGGGATAGGAATTTCCCGCAAGCTGGGTTTGCGCAGTATGTTCGGAATCTGTTCAAGTGTTAGCTTAATTCAAATCTGTTGCTCGCACGTCGACCTGTTCAGCTTTTCCTTCTTTTAGGACTTACTTTGCCAATATTGTGTACTCGCCCTGCTGTTTTACCTGGTACGCCCAAGAAACCTCCCACGGCAGATAGTCCTCATACTCGTCTAACACAAACATAACATCGCAGCACTGCGGCGGGTATAGACTCTCGTTGTTTGTCGCATTCTCGAAAAAGCTGGCGAGATCGTCGGCGCAGACCAAATGGCGGCGGCATGGAGCTTCGATAAGTAGCTCGCTTTCGCTCTCCTCTGTGCCGCAGATTACGCAACTCTTAGACATTATTACTGTTGTAGGTAGAGTATGGTGTGGATTCCTGTCAGTTAAAGAGGGTTGCGAAGGTGATCGTTCGTGGGTAAGTCGAGCGCCGTGGTAGAGTGGTAGAGTGAGTTCGGTACCGGGCGCGAAATAGTTCAGGCGTGTGGAGATTGTGTAGAAATAAGGCAGCACGTGGTGTGCGAGGCAAGTGACTAATTCACAAGGTTGGGATTTACGCCAAAGTTGAAGTGAATGCCGACAGACTTGGACCCGGCTAGCTAGCCCTGAATGCGGTGTGAAGGAAGCCTTGTACCTCTTCACATGCCCTGATAAAACAACGACCGAACGGTCCGATCGCAGTTAATGACCGTTGATTTGAAGACAAACGGCATCCACAAAATGGTAAAAGAAACCCGGTTCCCTTATTGCTGTATGATATACGAGAGAAAGATGACGCGACAAAACTTGCGCAAAATTGAAGTAAGTGTAAGTTGATGAATGCTAGCTGAGATACCAATAAAAATACAGCAGCTCACTGAGAAGATATAGGAGGGAAGTGCATCCCGATATCACAGCTTGAGATGCCCATAACTGAAAGCTGCAGGCAGCCATGGGCCGGGCGCAAGGGTCGACTCGCAAAGCCATGTGTGCAGCCTGGCAAAGACCCACACAGTGCGATGGCTTACTATGCAGGCAAATCCTATATGGGTAATGATGAAAAGTCCGGCGTCGTATCAGGAATATGTGGTGAATGAAAGGATCCAGAAATCGCGACGCGGCGTCACGTGGAGGTTTAGCCGGGCGGCCTGATCGTGCACGGACGCACAACATCGGATCGAGAGACAGCGATGCCCTTACCTGTCTCCTTCCAATGTACAATGACACATCTACGCCACATCCTGTCTCGCTCAATTGCAACATTTCTTGAGTTGCCGCATCTAAGTCAGCCTAAAAGCCCCCCCTCGGATCAATCGCTCTGGTCTTTAGTAACATCGCTGAACGGATCGATGAGCGGAAGGATTCGGGAAAAGTTCATAAGCTCTTAATTTGGGTGAGGCCCAGAATAATAAGTGGTATGTACAAGAATATTCAACTACACGACCCTCCTACGCACGGCACATACGTCCGTCTTTGCTGACCTTCCAGGCCTCACTACCAACACCCTTGAGGATATAGAGAACATCCTTCGGGTCGTACTTCTTCTTGATGTCCCTCAGCTTGTCGTAGTTCTTGCCAAAGAAGGTCTCTTTCCAGTTCGGTTGCTGGAAATCTGCCTCATTTAGATATGAGCCACTGCC